GTTTGCTTATTGTGTTTCTCTTATCAAGCTCTTACATTTGATCCCCATGTCATATCCTAGGGAAATGATAAATCACCAATATGTAGCATACGCCATATTAGATTCAAAATGGCAGCAGTTAATTTACTATGTATTGTCACAGGAACCAGACAGGCATACAAAATTTCAGCACAATTGTATAAGGTTCAATTGGTTCAAAATTCAGTTTCAGGATTTGTCCCACATATACATACCAACGAACTAACATACAGTTACTTGTACATCCCTTGTAAAAAGTGCCACTGTAAATTCAATTTATCTTGAAATCCAGACTCAAATTAATGCAGAACAAAGCGAAAACAGTTCAGGGTAAATTAGTATTTTCTATCTCCAAAAATCCTCTGAATTGCCAAATGCGTAATTTTGCCTCGATAAACGACTTTGTGTTGTATTGCTTGCCGTTTACGAATTTGGAATCCTCAGTGCATACATATAGAGTGCTTTTAGCAAAGTTGAGAGGACAGCTCCTTCGAAAACGTTCATAAACTATATGTACAGCGAAAGCGAAAATAGTGAGAAAAGTGAACGTTTTCAATGAAGAGTAAGAGAGATGTATCGAAAAAAGTGAGAAAAATCGAGTCGCCATCATCCCTGAACTATAAAACTTTTCCACTGGCATCTTTTAGGCACATAATGACGCTTTTAAATTTTATGCCCGACGTTTCGTTTTTGAGAAACCATCGTCAACTTTATTTTTTTATATTTTCCGAAAACAGTACACCCGGTATCTGCTAGCATATTTTTCTACGAACTTAACATGTTACATTTGATTTCCTAGTTATAAAGAATGTGTTTTTTAACATCACGTAACATTTCTGGTGTAATCATACTAGATGCTTCCATTACACATTCTCGTAACTGCTGCTCAATCCACCTTCCGGGAAATCGCTGAGAAAGATACTCTCGAACTTGCGTACAGTTATGTGCAGGATTATCGTCTTGTTGAAACCAACAGCTATTAACCTGTGCTAAAGATAAATTATCCAGACAATCTTCTAGATCATGTTGCAACAATGGAAGGTACCTTTCTGCAGTTAATGAGTTGTGGTAAATAAATAGACCTAATATTTTGGTCCCTAGAATTCCACACCACATATTAAATCCAGAGCGTTCTTGATGTCTAGATACTTTTTTAGCCAGCAGATTTTCTCTAGCCTAGTAATGTGTTGCGGCGATTAAAGATACTATTATTAGTAATCATACTCTGTCGGACCACACTATTTTTGAACGGAAATTAAAATCTTCTACACACGTTTGTGTGTATCACTCACAAAAATGCTGGAGCATGATCACCTTGGCAAATCCTGAATTTATAGGGGTAAAATCCATTTTTACGGAAAATAAATTGAGCTGTGGATTTGGCTACTCCTACATTTTTCTAAATTTACTTAGCTGATACCGCAGAGTTCTCAACTGCTTGTAAAACACGATTCTGAGTTTTGCCTATAGATTCCTTTTTTTGAGAAGTAACAGGCTTTTTGAATGGAATGGATCATATTAAAATTTCGAGCCAACTCTAAGAAAGTGGACATACTTGGCTGCCTTCTTTCGGGAAAATGATCAAGATACACTTCTGCAGTATTTTTAGTATTTTTGTAGCATAAAATGTAGCACGTCAGCATGTCGAACTTTAGTTCATTGCTAAAATTGACCGCCTGGTATCTTTGACTGTGATAAAGCATTATTAACTATACTCAATATTAACAATACTCGGTAACAGGTAGTTACGTTAAGCCAAGCATTTGCAACGCCTACTTGAAAAAGGTAAAAAAATCTGTAAAAAAGCATTTTTCCTTATAACCAAGGAAATACATGTAACATTGATACGGGGTGTACTTTTTGAGACCATATAAAAAAATAAAGTTGGTTTCTCTTTTTTTTCTCTTTCTCTCGTCGGGCACATAATTTAAAAACACCATTATGTAGTGCTTAAAAAGTGATATTTCTTAAAATAAAGCCAGAAAGATATAAAAATGATTTGGCCAAATTTTAGTTTTTCCCAAATATCTCAGTAAACCATTCAAGTTTTGCAAGTTTCTCAACGGCATGTTAATGCGCCCCAAAGAACGCAACTTTTTCCTACTTCAACCTAAGCTGATTCAGTTCGCACTTCATCCAACTACGATTTGTAAACCAGCCAAGAATCCCTGTTTGTGTATTTTTTTGTAGTTTGTACCTTAGCGATGGATTTGGTATAGTTTAGTAACTAGTTCGGACAGTATACAAACTAATATTTGTTGCTATTTCAGTGGAAAGATAATATTCTATTAAAATGGCAAGATGGCTCGTTAGTTTATATACTATCCAGCCAGTTAGGTTACAAACGGCAACGCTATACTCGTATACATGTGCTGCATAAACAACTAAATTTTTGACATCATAGTCTTGATGTCCAGTTTATTGCGATTATATAACTGGCCGTGCATATCCCACTGTACGTCGATGTGTTTACCCCTCTACCACAGAACATGGAATTATCAGAATTATATCTTGAATTAAGGTTTTCATTAACAAAAAAATACCTGTCATACCCAGTTCTGGGCATCTGAAGTAGTATTTTGTCTAATTACCCTAGATATACGCACCATAGATTTGTGTTTTCTTTTTTCACTTACATAACTCGGCATATAGCAATTTCGAATTTTATCGCGATTGAAATATTTTCCTCAGCCATCGGCGTAGAAGGTAAATATGGGCTCTACTAATTAAATAGCTTCAGCTTCGACAAGATCATAGAAGGTCAAGATCAAATACACAGATCGCTACGTAAACTAGCATTCCTTCAGTGAGCATGCCTTCTCGACATCAAGTACTGTGTGGATAAACACACCATGGTCCGTAAATATGTTCCAAAACGTAATCATGGATCGAACTCGTGAAAATGACATTGAGCTGAATAAGCCTTAGTAAAATGTAACTGGTGAATAAGATACAGGAACTTTAATTTTCAAAATTGTTATTTTTGATAACCTAAGCTGTTTTTACGATATCAGCATGATAAATGGAAACCAGGAGTTTTCGAGGTCAAGGATCGCTATTATACAAAACACAGTATGTAGAGGGCGTTAGTTACAGCCTACCATATCACTATTTCATGTGATACCATTTTTGCTAATATCGTTCCATCATTTCTGAAGCCATGACACAGTCATGATTTTAAAGTGAAAATGGTTTTCTACATTTTCTTCGATTGAAAAAAATCTTTCTTAGATAAATACATTCCTATATTATCTCGCATAGTCATATGGCTGACTTAAAAACAGTTCGTTAAGAGTGAACTAAATTGCGGGCGAGAAATAAAATACATAGGAATGGACATTCGGCACTACGGCAGACGTACTGGCCTTGCAGAAATATCAATAACAACATTCATTTCTTATACATGCCATAATGCATTATTAACGGACTGTAAGTCAGCATCTTGACTGTGCAGTAGAATGTTTGAGTGCAAATATCTCAAAAAGGGTTTTTTTAATCTAAATTAATGTCGAGAACCATTTCTACTTAAAAACCATAAAAAGCGGCGACTGAAGCCGATCGCTGTAAAATTCGGTAGTGAATCACTGAAGCGAGCCACTCACGTCGAGCAAATCGTGCTCCACTTGACTGTCGTTTTTTTAGCGAATCCCTTTGAGGGTCACATTACAAGTTAGTACAGGTGACAACTAGTTCGTCTGTGGGCAGAGTATCTGCAGTCCTATCATTTTATTAGTTGGGATAGAGCTCTGAACACACGTTATTAATGGAGAGGTCCCAGGGAAAACTTGATTTTATATTGATTTATATCGTACTAAAAGTATATTAAGGGATCTGCAACACGCAGAATATTATAACAAAATCAACATGATGGGTGGCAACAGCTTTTCGTTTTTCAAGATACTCAATGTTGCACCACCATTTACATCTCTTCCTCTAAATAAATCTGTCTACCACGACCGTGTTTTTTTTCTTTTTTATTAGGTTAGCAATAGCTCATTAATATGAACGCAGCACTAGCTACTTCTAGGTCTGATATTTCGACACAAGCTGCCGCAGAAAAATGTGGAGCACTTTTGAGCCGGGCATTCAAAGTGAACATTCGCTGGACTCAAATCACGAACTTTGTAATGTATCACTCAATGTGAGCATTACATTACAGCGCTCGGTTTCAGTCAGTCGCCGCCTTTACTCTAACATAAGTTTTAATATAAATTGATGGACTGGTGTTAGTACAAATAGTATGTCATAGAACTGCGATATTGTGGATTGTCAATACAATATCCTCATCCTCAGAACCCCTCAATGTTAATACCTCACCCCTGTACCTCACTGTCGAACTGCGTTTTGCCATTAGCCCTTTTACAGTCAGCAAGAGCAAGACAAATGTTGATCCGACGCATGCGCGCTAACAAAACAACTGATACTTCCTGTCATCTTATTGCAACTGTCGGGGTCTTGCATAAAAATCAACCAGTTGGATTTTTCATGCAATTTTTTCTACAATTCTGGTGTTTGAAGATACACGTGTGAATGTGTTTAGACATTGAATGGTAGGCGATTGAAACTAGTTTTTAGACAATAAAACCATGTGTTCTAAAGGGTAAAAAACCAAACCCAAAATTATAGTTTAGGAATGTGACAGGCAATATTTCATTCGTTTATGTTGGCTAACCTTACTCGTTTGAAATGAGGAAACAGGACCTTCTTGCAATTGTATTGAAGACAACAATATGACAACTGCAACTGGAAAGGCTTGCATACAATGGTCTTAAGGAGTGTGAAACAGTTTTAAGGCATATTTGGTTCTATAATTATTTTCACGACTTTATTTTTGGTTCATTCATTAAGCACGGTCCTTTATATGTCTTTATATTTATTGGAGCAATTCGATTTATTGTATGAATGAAATCATGTACCTAATGACAATTGGTCAAATGCCAAGATATAATTCTGGTTATTCTCCATTCTGCGACTCTACTTACAGGTTCTTGGTGTCAGCAGGCTGTGGCGTGTCCGGTTGCTGGTTGGACTGCGGCGTGGCGGCTGCTGATGAGGATGTGGCGGCTGAAGCAACGTCTGCGTTGTTGGGGGGCGGCCCGCACCGCCCCAGGAAACACAGCGCCGGGTCGCTGCGCATTGCGTCGTACATTTCGTAGCCGTGCTTCCAGGTACCCACCAACAGCGACCTGTCGCACTCGCTGTCCCACCAAGCGCTAGGCAATTGCTCCGTTACGGGGGGGTATATCGGCAGGGCACTGTGGATTTCACCAACAACCACAAAACGGGCGTTCAATTCCAATTCGAGAGCGACACAACGAGTCATCAAATGCAATATATGTCTCGCGTTGTTACTCTGATATATTTGTACATTGCCAATTGAGTAATTTTGAGATCTTGCTCAATTCGGATTTTTTTCTATAGTTATGGTCAATGCTAAGGTATGTTGGCGAAAATCGTCTCGAGCTTTTGTACATATAAACAGATACCCTAATGGGTCACTGAAATCAAGCATGTAACAAAAAATCCGAAAGCTGTAATACAAGGTCTGTCGTGAAGTAAACAGGACTTTTGAAAGATAATCGTTACAAGTAGTAAGGCGACTAGCGTTGGACAGGTACATCTTTCATTGATGCCCTCTGAAAATTTCATGACAATCGAACAACTTCACGCGGAATTATCGCTCTCAAAGTGACAGTACCTTTTTAGCATCGATCGTAAAATGAGCATCGAACAGAGAGCCCATATTAAGTTCTGTGTTAAACTTAGTAAAACATTTGCCGAAATGCATTAGATGTTGATGCACGAGTATGGTGATGATTGTTTATCTCGTAGCCAAGTCCACAAGTGGTTACACGGTTCAAAGAGGGTCGTGAGTCGCTGGAAGACGACGAACATATTGGCCAGCCAAAATTTGTGACTACGCCAGAAGCCGTGGTTAATTTATCAAAAATGATCCAAAACCTTCATTGCGATACATAGCAATGGAATTGAATATCTCTAAAGATTCAATCCATCGCATTATGACCAAGAATTTCGGCTTGAGAAAGGTGTGTTCACGGTTTGTTCCAAAAATTGCTTCGAATTAAACGTTCAAGAGACGTCATTAAAGAGGCAAAAAAGACAAAAACTTTCTGTACAACGAAACAAATAGTCAAAGTGCCGAATCGAAGCACCCAAGCGAGCCAAATTCGAAAAATATCCGTTTGAAAAAGTCTAAAGTGAAGACAATGTTGATTTGTTTCCACGATTCGAAGCGAATTATTGACAAAGAATTCGCTCCATCGGTCCAAACGGTCAATGCTGTTTGATCTTTGTGTTAAGAGAAGTTTGCTGTCGCGTATTCGTCGTGTTCGGACAGAATATCGCGAAGAAGGAAGCTGGCGTTTGTTGTACTACAATGCACCATCTAATCGATCGACGCTTGTGCTCGATTTTTTTGAAAATATGGCATTTTAACCATCAACCATTCCCCATATTATCCTGATATGACACCGTGTGACCATTTAAGTTCGGTAAACTACATTTGGCCATGAAGGGACAGCGGTATGCCGACGTAGACGAAATCCATCCATTTTGAAGGATAGGATTCCCGGACAATGAGCTAAAATCAACATTCGAAAATCTTTTGGTCCGTGCAAATCGTTGTATTAACTCTGAAGGAGACTAAATAAATTCGATTTTCCGAAACAAAAAATGTTTGTTCATTTTTTTCTTTGTCCTGATTGCTTTGCGATAGACCTTGTACATAATTAGTTTAAGAAGTGAACTGTTACTGAGCGAGAACTTTTCCAGCTCGAGGCGCGCAACACCGAAGGATATAATATGCGAGATCAGTTGTAGCATTCTTACGTAAGGTATGTATAGGATTTTTCCACTACTATCGCTATACAGGGTGTCCCAGAAATCGACGTCAAGCCAGAAACGAGGGATAGGTCAAGTCATAATAGTCATAAGAAAAAAAATAAAAATCCAAGTCGTGTACTTTGAAAAAAACGGAAAAATCTACACTCTATGATGATCTTTTAGTTCCCATTACTACAAATTTCAATTTTTTCTTAGACGGAGTGACGGACAGTGTCATTCTACGTAGTGACAGCAAGACAGACAGTAAGGCCTCTTTCATTAATTCGTGAAAGTATTTATTAAATTCACAATAAATGTTCAAACTTCCTTCCATTATTCTGTCCCGTAGCTCAGCTAAATTTTTGATTGGCTTTGAGTAAGCTTTTTCTTTCACCGCTCCCCAGTAAAAAAAATCGAGTGGATTCAAGTCCTGTGAACGGTTTAAGTCTAACTGAACGGACATAGTGCGCTGGAGTGTGCTGGTACAACATGCCTATGGCTCTGTAAATGCACTTCCAATAAATTTGGTAAATGATTTTGTAAAAACTCTAGGTAAACTTCGCCATTCAAGAACTCTGACAGCTCAAAGGGTACTATGATTCTCCCATTTAGAATCCCGATCCACATGTTTACTTTATCTTGTCTTATCAACCGTGGATTTTCTACATGCCACACGTCTAAGTTGTGTAGATTCATGTAACCAGCTAACTCATTAATCCATAACATGTTCTCTAAAAATCGCGGATCTTCCCCTGTAACATTGTTTGAGAAAACTCAACTCTTGGAAGATAATCCCGGAGTTTTACCTCCTATTTGACATATCGGAGTCTTCGACTGCTTGTAGTACCACGTCCTCGTAAGGAAAGGAAATTCTTCCTTCACCGTGTGCTTGATCTGGGAATCGTCCCTCCGAGACTAAACGGCGCACATTCACAAAAGCTCGGTGTTTGGAATGACGAGCAGGTACCTCTCACGATAAAGCCTAGCTACATCAATACCATTGTATCTGAATTCTCCATAAATGAGGTGCATGTTGGCGTGTTCCTGTACGGTGTACACAAACATGATGGAGCTGCACAATCACGAATTAATAACAGAGGCGTTACTCCATTTAAGAAAAATAGATACTAAAAGATTACCACAGGGTGTAGATTTTTCCGTTTTTTTAAAGCCTATAATCTAAAAAGTACACGACTTGTTTTTTTTTATATTTTTCTGGTAACAATTATGACTTGACCGGCTTGTCGTCGAATTTTGGGACATCCTGATTTTACATCACACTCAAGATGTTTTCAGTTGTTTTACAAATACCTTGCCTATCTTGATTCGCCTTTTTCAAATTGAAATGAATAAATGTAACAGACAGCCGATTAGGACTGATCCATTTTAAAGAGAGTAAGGTGCAAATGTTGGTTGGTTGTGTTTTCGTTCTGTTAACAGTGAACCGATATCATGCCGGTTATTGTGGTATTCAAGAAGAATAGCTACATGAGGAGCTATACTCAACATCTTATTTCCCAACAGTTACCAAATATTTCGAAATGAAAAGTTCAGTTGCCAAACCGGAATTATTAAAATGAAAGAGTACAATTTTAAAAGTCATACATAATATAAGAGTAATCCTACTTCTCACTAGAGGATTGCGGTCAATAGTGGGGATTTCTCAGGTTAACAGTGAAACAATATTATAGTCGTTATGTGCTCAAAATAATACATTCGTTAAGCGATATCGCTATGGAAACTTGTTTAAAAATTAAAATTTATAAATACAAGTATACAGATCGGCAAAAATTCCGAGCTTATCGTGAATTATAACCTTCTTTTACATCATATATCTGATTTCATAAACGATCGCAGTACAAGAACTTTGATAGTTATTAATAATTTACTATTTTTTGCCAAATTGCGATAAATGGTAAAACTCAGCATTACAACACAATGCTCTATCATATGTTACAATATGGAATTAAGAATTGCACATCTTGCAGAGAAACAAATAAAAAAAGGTAAAATCGTTATGACGAATGACCGCATTAGCACAACGAATTGTGGTATGTCCGTTTTCGACATCCCAAGGCAGGTCAATACAAGAGCTTTATCCAAATGTGTTCAATGGAATTTTTCATTTATTTGACTGGAAAATAGTACATATTTCTTAAATTAGCATTTTCGCATAAATTAAAATTTCAAGGCGATGCTAGTTGGTTTCTATGCGGGAAATGGGAAGGAGTTAACGTAATAAGTTAAAATTTTAAGCGGATCAAAATATGTATGAAAATTAATGATTTATATTTTGATTACGGTGGTCTTAGTAAATTACTACAAATCATGTTGAAATTATCACCTGAGATTTCAGTTATACTAGATGTTATTACTATTGTTAACTCTTGGCTTCGTAGTGCCAACAAAATAATAATAATAATTACAGCTGTAATCCTGTCGGTGTTAATGGAAACTAATACCACAATTGTGTGTATCTCTGAAGATTTATGTATTTCATAATTGAAATTTTGTTTTATTTCAAAAAATAACCTGATAAGATTTTATGGTAGTACTAAAATTGTGAACTATAAACCATTGAAATAAACAAATTAAAGCCCTGAGTTTATTATATAAAATCCCTAACTTACGAACATGCCCAAGGCTTCTAAAACATGAATGCTTTTCTCTACAGCTCCTCATAGTTTATCTCATAAAAACTAACGCACCCTATGAGCAAGAACATTTCTGCATAATCTAGAAGTATTTCTTTGCAAAGCATGCACTTGTACACATAATGAATACTACCAGTACTTATTACCAGTATATGTACATATTTATATGCATATAAGCTGTCTTGGAAAGTCAAGCTACAGATAATCTTATCAACGTTTCAGTGATGAAACAAAACAATCAAAATTTCGTATACTCAACCAAGGATGATTAGAAATTAGGAATCAAAAATGAAAATCATCTACTTGTTTCCGAAACCAGCATGTAAGCTCCTCTTGTTGTCTCAGTTATACTTGAATACTTTATGTTAGATTTATGCAATAGGATTGCACGATTACATAGACGCAAATTCTAGATTACACAAGAAATTGTTCTAAACTTCACATTGACCATATTACTTGTGGGAAGGACTCTGAGTGGTCTTGGCACCCTTTTTCACGTTGCGTCAAAGCATATGCATCTAAAAGCATAATGAAGTCATGCTCAACTACTACTATTCATTCAATAAGTTACAGTTAAGGGGCTTCCCTGGAACCTTACTCATCTAAATTGTTTAAACTTCCTGCGGAAAGTTCAAGAACTGAGAAACAACAATAAATTTCAATAGACCGATGTTGAATTGGTGCATTTTTGTAAAACTAAAATAATTCGAAACTAAACATCTCTCATGCTTCAATGATTGGATTATATTCGAATCGTGAACTATTCAAAAGATGCAGTTCAAAGTGACAGCCATTATGGTCTCAAATTTGAGACAGTACGAAAGATGCGAAGACCACATGTCGAGTCCTTCCCTTGTAAAAATAACGCTTGAACATTCGCGATATTTTTACTCGAAAAAAAAGTAATTTTGAATCACCTAAACATTATAAATTTAGTAACAAGTGCCATACCGTCACTTTTTTAGAGTGATAAGAGGGGATGTGGGGGTACCAATCAAATGGATGTTTTAAAAGTGTTAATAAACTGTATGGTTAAAGAAAGCGAGATGAAGCAGGAGTGTCATGAATCGTAGAATAGGGGCATAGTTTATATATGATTGCCACTAAATTGTTCTATATCTTATATATCAAATGAACAACAAATAAATATACCTGTAATCTACGGAAACAGACATCCTAAAAATCTGAATATATTGGCGGTTCACTATGTAAAAGCGATCTAGCATGACTTCAAAGCAGATCATGCATGTAAATGTTATAAAATGAAAAGCGGGGACTTCCGAATTCAAACAAATTCAGCAAAATACAGATACTCTTTCTCACCAACAAAATGCACTAGGCATTAGAATTGAAGTGACATTCGATCAAATATCTGATCTCAACTAAAGAATGCTCGTATTTAATGTGCCTAAAGGATATGACTTTAAACACCCATTTCTGCTAGCATTGTGTTCACATGATGGAAAAGTAAGCTCAAGTGCAGAGACAAAAAGTGAACGAAGCATATATATTTTGTTGGCGAGAACAAGCAGCTTCAGCCAATGGAACCATCAGTCAAAAAATAAAAACCTTACCTGTATTTCTTAAGTCTAACGATAAGAAATAGTTTAAGGGTAAAGAATATAAACATATTCATAGGCCTAACACAAAAGAGACAAAAAACATCTGATAACTAACACTATTTATATATTGAAAAATATGATAAAGTAATACCTTGCGCTCACTCCCTCGGCAATGTGTTGCACCATCTCTCCTATTATTTCATGTTTGATATAGTACAACATTCTCACTCGCAGCAGTACCCTAAAAAAATATAAATTATATCCAATTCACTTTCATAGCAAAACTGATCCGACGAGTAAATATAGTCAGGTTGCTGAGAACAGTTACTTTTCATAGAATACCTCCATATTCTCCAAATTAGCATGGTATTCATCATTTTGTATATTTAAGTACAGTTAATCCAAATATTCAAAAACATAATGTGGATTTTGAATTGTTGGTGATAAGAGAGAAGTAAAACTTAGTTTTCAATTATAAGCATAGGACATTTAGCAATTTTATACAGGCTGATTTAAAAGACAAACCATGGCAATATTTCTGGGGTAGAAACGAGATGCAGAAATAACACGAAACACATTGGTCCACAAACGTCCTCTTACCGAGATACAGGGAGTTAAAAGTTTAATGTTATAATTTACAAATTAAAAAAATATATATCTCTGGAGTGTATAAAGCTACGGACTTGAAATCTTTTACTCATAGTAGTAGTAGTAACTAGTACATACAAACGTTTCGCTGCTTATAGTACAACACCCCACTAGCAAAGAGGTGTTATAAGTTTCTGGTACAAGAACTGTTAAGTCGTAAAAGCTCTCTTTTGCCGTTGCCCGAACACCAAAATGCTAACTTAATGTTGTGTGAAAAGCAAATTTGCTTCCTGGAGCATATTTGCTATAAAATGAGGTATCTAAAACATTCTTGTAAGGTACTTATACAACACCTCATAGGATAAATTTAGAACTGTTGCACAAACGTTTGTACAACATATTAGCTCGGTAGTCAAAATGTTTGTGTTGTGGTATTCATGGTAACAATTATACAACAAACCCGAGCCTTGTTGCTTTGGTGTGCCAAATTACTACTTTAGCCAACAAGTTGCTCCCAATGGAAGCATTTATACAACTCTCGTTTAGTAATTGTTAAAGGCTACCCAACTAACAATTATCACTCCTATTAGAGTTGCAAGAATGATTATACAGTATTCCTTAAACAGACAGCATTGTATACTGTAAGAACATTGGCCATACCCTCTTAGAACAGCTATACAAGCGGAATGGGCACACCTAATAGGACACTTCAGCCATTTAAGAGGTTAAATAAGGACTGCAGGTAACAGTTATAAAACAAAAGTGTAAGCCTCTTGCAGCCGCTATATGACATTTGCGTCAGTGCAAGATTCAGTTTTTGTCAACTATACAACTATTCTATTACGTGATTCTACTTTATCGCAACCAAACTATTTCTTATATATTGTATAGACGAAGTGAAGAATATATAACTAACACATTATAGTCATCTTGTTTACTTATATATCGGCCATTGTGAATTTCATACACAGGTATAGGATAAACTTCTACACTGTGATATAAGGCTATTGAATTTCTTGCACAGCAAATTTTATTGTGATTATCGTGCAGATTAGTTACCCAATTTCTACGGGCTTCGTATTTGATTCATATTTTGACAATGATCAAAAGTATGTCTAGATTTTTAAGATGGAAAACTGAACTTATCTGCGTTAAATCTTCCACAAATCCTATATTTAGACACAATTACACTAATGTTTATCACTTTATATCTGTAATTTCGAACTGAAACATAATTATTTAATATTAAATAGAGGAATAAATGTTTGCCCAATATGGCGGGTGGTTGTGTACAATCATGGCAACGTCCATGTTGTCTTTAGGTTATTAGAATATTTTGGTGTTGCCTGCAGGTGTTATACAACAATTTGACAAATGTCTGAAATGAAATACCGACAGGGTCGAATGATTTACCCAGAATTTGTACCAGATCTATATCTTCTGTTTGAACAGTTGATAAAACCTTTTGAACCAATATGCATGCGTTGTTTGTCTTAAAACATTGATTATGGCATTTTACAAAAATATGACAGCAGAAAGTTAGGTTATGGGGTGAAGTTGTTTACAAACATATTTAACATATGTACAGCCTTAAACAGTTACTAAACAACAGTTGTATAAGTGCTTCCGTTGGGAGCAATTTGTAGGCTAAAGTATTAAATTGCACAGCAAAACAACAAGGCTCGGGTTTGTTTTATATACGTTACCATGGATGCCACAACACAACCATTTTGACTAACGTGCAAATATGCCGTATAAAATAGTTGTATAAACGTTTATGCAACAGTTAAAAAATTGCCCTATAAGGTGTTGTATAACTATGCTATAAGAATATTTTAAACACTTCATTTTAGAGCAAATATGTTGCAGAAAGCAAATCTGGATTCCACGCAACATTAAGCCAGCATTTTGGTGTTCAGGCAACAACAATAGAGAGCTTTTATGGCTGAACGGTTCTTTTACCAAAAGCTTATACCACTATTTTGCTAGTTGGGTATATATCTGTAACAATATCTCAACTTTTATAGGACAAAATTGCTGTGCTTGGCATACATTTGTTGCTTAATATAAAGATATACAACCCCACCATAACCTATGTTTATGGTCTCATCTTTTTTTTTTTTTTTTTTTTTTTTTTTTTTTTTTGGCTTTAGGACTAGGCCATGCAGCCAGAAACTAGGTTGGATATTTTATATATTTCTATAATTATGGACGACAAACACACGACGTCACAACATCCATGGCGAAGGCGAGATTCGAACTCGCGGCCCGGCCGGCCGGCTGATCAGTAGCACGACACTCTGACCAACGCGGCCAACCGAGGCCCCATGGTCTCATCTTAATAGGTTAAATGCCATTACCATTATTTTTCTTCTTCAAGAAAAGCAACGCATGAATATTCGTTGTAGAGGTTTTAACAACATTACAAACAGATAGTGTAGATCTGGTACAAGTTCTGGGTAAATCATTCAACTCTTCCTATATTTCATTTCAGAGATTTGCTAAATTGCTGTATAACACCTGCTAACAGCATGTTCTAATAAACCAAAGACAATATGGAGGATGCCATGATTATACATCACCAGACATATTGGGAAATATATATATATATGTATAGGTGAAAAATTAAAGCTTCCGCCTTTTGTTGGGTACTTCGACAAAATTTAAGCAAAGAGGACGACTCGTTATACTTTTTTAATTCTCTCTAGCTTTCAATGGACTTTGCCATCATCATCAGGAGAGTAGTATGTGAAGATGTTGTTAATTGTTGTTTACGTATAGGATGAGGGAACTGTTCTTGTCATATTTTATATATATTTGACCACTGTACCATCTATCCAGCTCTCACCATGTTACTGGACGTTTCCCTCATCCTATACGTAAACAACAATTAGCAACATCCTCACATACTACTCTCCTGATGATGATGGCAAAGTCCATTGAAAGCTAGAGAGAATTAAAAAAGTATAAAGAGTCCTCTTTGCTTAAATTTTGTCGAAGTACCCAACAAAAGGCGGAAGCTTTAATTTTTCACCTAACTGGTCTAGACGACAATGACCACGTCTCAAGTTATATATATATATATGTATATATATATATATATATATATACAGGGTGACTTTGAAGTTGAGTCATTAATTTTCAGATAATGATTGTAGAAGGAAGATAAACCAAAATATGTGTGTAAAAATAAAAAAAAAATTAAAAAAAAATTTTACCTTGTTTTATAAAGTATCCTCCCGACAAGTATTTCAGTGCGGACCTGTATTTGATCGTGAGGTCCCCTGTGAGGTCTTAAGTCACCTGATTCACGAGCCCGTTGTACTACATTAACAAAGGCACGAGGGGTTGGTTGCACTCGATTGGGAAACCGATCCGCATAAACATGTGCCATTTTTTATTTCGTTTGAGCCACGCAACAGACACTATTCACACGCGACTGAAACTGACTGTATGTATAACTGAACTGAATTGTAATCGTAAAAACATCGTTCCAAATTCTTTCGCTTTTTTGTTTCCGATGCAATGAACCGTTGTTGCCAAACACGAACACATGATATTATTGAGACAGGGCGGTACTCAAACTTCCAAAGGGCTATAACTTTGTTACTTTAATTTTACCAGAAAAATGGTAAAGGAAAAAAACATTTATTTTGATCAGATCTACACACTGTTAAAATAAATGACTCAACTAAATATATATATATATATATATATATATATATTTATCCTTGAATTTCTGTGGGTAGAAGGCAAAGTTTTTCGTAAGTACACTCTTATAACTTGAATTCGAGCTTTAGATGGTCTATACCATCATTTATGTAATTTGAGCGATTATTGAGAGAGGTCGATGTTAGGAGAGATATGTTCCTTTTCCAATTTTTCGCAGTTCAGCAAGTATGCATAAACGACGCTAAGTTGATTGACATCAGCTTTTTTGTTCATGCAATTGTCGGTCATGAAGATATGTGACATGTCCAGGAACAGACGTTTTGATACATGATTTTCTCTGTCTAGCACCGCCAACAATATCTTAATGGTAGACTGTGTCACTACTTTGTACGATAGTAATAATAAAATTACCTGGGCAAGTCATTCAATAGCCTTATATCACAGTATAGAAGCTTATCATATAGCTACTTGTGTATGAAATTCACAATGGCCGATATGTTAGTAATCAATATGAAATGCAATGTGTTAGTTTGAAAAAAATGTCTCTTCGCATATAAAATACATAAAAAATAGTTTAGCTGCAATAAAATGGAATCATGTAACAAAATGGTTGTATAGTTGACAAAGTTGAATCTTGCACTGACGCAAAGGTTCTTTAGCGTATGCAAGACTGTTTACATCTTAAGTGACTGACCTGCCCTACTAGATGCGCCGATTCCGCTTGTGTAGCTGTTCTAAGAACGCTTTGCCAATGCTCTTGTACCCTACAACGCTTTGTAAAGAATACTGTATAAACGTTCTTGCAACCCAAACAGGAGTAACAATTGTTAGACAGTTGCGTAGAAACTGCGATATTTTACCGCTACAGAAGAAAAAATAAAACTATTTTCTACGTTACTGACTTTTTTAAGCACGCATTGCATTTTTGAATAAGGTATTCAACATAAATTGTTTCCCTTGCCCATGAAAAAATGAAATCCATCCATTTAATAGTGTATTAGAGGAGCAACCCCATCTCACCATAGCGTTATTTGAAGAATATTCATGTTTAGTCCTGGCTGGGTTTCATGAGGTGCGTAGAAATCTACAACAACCTGTATCTTGGTAATAGTAAATTTCAGAACATATGTTCATATAAACTGTTATCTTAGAATGTACTTTCTGATTCAAGAATATTCATTTGTTTTTATACAGAGTTTTTCAATTGAAGCGGGTAGATGTTGGCGGCCTGAAGCGGCTATGTTGTTTTGGTGATATCCGTCAAATCTGTTTTATATTATTCAGTTACTGATGCCAAGTCACCATGGCAAGTTACAAGGTTGAACAGCACGTCAAAATGATAAAACTGTATTATCAAAATGAGTGTTTATGTTTATGGTAGACGTGGTGGTCCTTCACAGTTAACTCTTCAACGTTTGGTTACCAAATTTGAGACGACCGGATCAGTAAACAATCAGCCACCACCAGTACGTCAAAGGAACGCAGGATCAGCCGAGAACATAGCCGCGGTCAGTTAAAGTGTATAGCAGAACCCAAGGAATTTAGGCCTTCACCGGTACCAGATCCAACTGATCCTAGAGCTAAAAGTTCATGACCACATGCAACACTGTTTGTTCGCTGACTGGGCTTCGAGGCGTTTGGAAGAGGACCCCAATTTTGGCCGCAAAATCATTTTTAGTGACGAGGCGCATTTTTCGATGAATTGCTGTGTTAACAAACAAAAATGCCGAATATGGGACGACACCAACCCGCACGAGGTTAATCAGGTGATAATGCATCCGCAAAAAGTTACAGTTTGGTGTGGATTTTGGGCCGGTAGCGTCATTGGTTCATACTTTCTCTAAAATGACATTGGTGAGGCAGACACCGTCAACGGTGAGCGCTACAGAAGGATGATAACCAATTTCTTATGGCCCAAATGGAACCATATGGTCCTAGATAATATGTGGTTCCAGCAGGATGGCGCTACATATCACACAACGGACGCACGATTGAAATTTTGCATCATCGCTTTGAGGTTAAGGTTATCTCTCGCAAAGGTAATTTGAGTTGACCACCAAGGTCATGCGATTTGACCACGATAGAGTTTTTTGTGGGGTTTCAGGTGTATGCAAATAAACCTCCAACGACAGATGCCCTTAAAGTGAAAATAACACAGGCGATCGCACAAATTCAGCCGAATCTATGCGGAAGAGTAATTGAAAATTGACCACTCGGATCCGTGCCAACGTAAGAAACCGAGGCGGACATTTGAACGATGTGATATTCCATACTTAATGGCATACATGGGCCTTTTAAATAAAAAGACTTTTTTTAATATCTCACACACAGCTGCTTTCATTTCATTTCAACATCTGCCCGCCCTTATTGAAAAACTGTGTACAATAAACTATCTACCTAGAAGTGAAATTTTAAACAATATGAAGGGAGCTTCTAGTAATGGTGCGGAAGCGAAGCCTGGCAACTAGGCCACCTTTGGTCTTTTTGCCGACCCCGCAGTATCAACACTACTACTCCACGAGCCATCTATTGGCAACTAATACTATGAACCAGCTCCAGCGACGAGATGCATGTCGTTAATATTGCACCCTCGTGCAGGATATAAACACACAACAGGACATCCATGGCTCTGAACTGAACACTGACAAGCCCCGGGTTGCTAGCTCGACGCGCTTACCACCGAACTACCGAGGCTCCCACGAACGAAGTTTACACAATGCGTTTTACCATAATTTTGCTACTAAAATTTAGACATTAAATATACGTCTACAACTACAGTACAAATAAGAAGTTTGATATTTCTTACTTGTTAGCGTGCCTTCCCAAATGTTTCTTGTAGTTACTCTCTAGGAAAATGTCTCCGTCATATTTCTCGTTTTTGCTCCAATGATTGGGATCAGTGATAGCAGGATGTCTGGCGTCTTTACTGAGGATCCCCTTACCGTCTTTCCGTTTATGCTTATTCCTAATTCCTCGAGGTACGGGATCTTTCAAGCCATGGTGGTTTCTCGAGATTTTTTGCTCGCCGTTTTCGCTTGGCGTAATCAAATCCCAAATAAAACTGCGGATTTTTTCATCGCCGCGATAGAAACGAAGGCAATACAGTAGCTGAAATACAAAGCAGGTGACTAGTGTTTCAACAATGCTTAGAATTAATAAGCGGTCAATTGGAAGTATGTACGAAGTAAATAATTACAAAAGCAATGCATAAGCTGGCATTGAATGGTAGATGCTGGTTCCATTCTTGTACAAATTCTAATTACTCTGCGTTCTCACGGATCGTGGCTCGCTAGCGTGATCCACACGTTCGTGGAATAGCATCCGTCTAAACAATATCGTGGGCTTACCTCTGACGTCATCGACCTCTCACGTTTTGGTTATTATGGTTAGGATTTTAAGACCCACGCCTACTGGCGGAGAAGTACGTATACATACACACATACACACGTCTTAGGATTCCCTGTATGGATCTGTTTGATTGACTTAATCTGTCTGTTCAACTTCTCTGTTGTACATAATCGTAATTGATTTTCTTCTTAAATGATTTAAATTGCGCTGAGTTTAATCCTTTATGAATAGATGATGGCGATGTGTAGGTCAACCAACTTGACGCCATTTTTTAGACAAAACATAATAGAGCTAAACAACTACTTGAAAAAAAAAATCGCAAAAATACAATAAGTTATGAAAATCCTTTACTCTAAAAAAAAAGTTCGATCTAAACACGTACTAAAAATTAGGGATCGACCGATGTAGAATTTTCGACGATATATCGGCCGTTCGTCTCCTTCCAGAAATAATCGGATGTAATGTAACATATGAAACTTATCCTGTGGTTTACAAGTCTATAATATTCCTTATGCTTGTCTGTAGTAAACGTTTCAGGTTGTTTTTCTTTTCATTATCACATTCCTATACAGTATATTACTAATGGGTGATTTTTTTGCTAGTATCTTTTTGGCAACACTGTTTTTGACAGATTACGCGTGAATCGTGTCTTGTGTCATTGTCAAACTTGTTCAGTTTGGTCTATAATTTAACCATGAATCGACTTACGAACGAACAACGCTTGCAAATTATTGAATTTTACTATCAAAATTCATGCTCGGTTAAGAGAGTGCATCGAGCACTGCTTCCAATTTATGGGCAATTTGGTCGGCCTACTGAGGGAGCTATTCGGAAGTTTGTGACTAAATTTCGAATCCAGTTTACATTATTGGGCATTAAACCACCAACACGCAGACGTAGACTGAAGAAAATATTGCGGCTGTATCCGCCAGTGTTAGTGATGACCGTGAAATGTCGATTCACCGCCGTTCGCAGCAATTGGGCCTCTGTTACTCCACTACGTGGAAATTTTTGCGACAGGATTTGGGTGTAAAACCTTATAAGATACAACTGGTGCAAGAATTAAAGCCACACGACCTCCCACAACGTTTCCAATTTGGTGAATGGGCGCTGGCAAAGTTGGAGGAAGATCCACATTTTTATCGAAAAATTGTGTTCAGCGACGAAGCTCATTTCTGGTTGAATGGGTACGTTAACAAGAAAAATTGCCGCATCTGGAGTGAAGACCAGCCAGAAGCATTACAAGAGCTACCAATGCATCCCGAAAAAATCACTGTTTGGTGTGGATTATGGGCCGGTGGCATCATCGGGCCGTACTTCTTCAAAGACGACAATGGCCGGAACGTAACTGTGAATGGCGAGCGCTACCGTGCGATGATAACAAACTTTTTTTTGCCCAAAATGGAAGAGCTGGACTTGGCTGACATGTGGTTTCAACAAGACGGTGCCACATGCCACACCGCATACGAAACAATGGCCCTATTGAGAGGCGAGTTCGGTGAACAGTTTACCTCACGTTTGGGGCCCGTCAATTGGCCGCCTAGATCGTGTGATTTAACGCCGTTGGACTATTTCTTGTGGGGCCATGTTAAGGCTAATGTCTAAAATTGATGGGTCAGTAGTTCGGTTGGAGAATTTGAGCTAGATATTTCCTTCAAGGATATTTAACCAAATTTGGTCACAGTCCACAGAAGAACTAGAAACATAATTGTTGTTCAATTTTATATATGCTGATTCGTTTACCTCCCTGTTGTAAGTGAATATGTATGAGAAGCAGCACATAGGGTAAAATGGGAGGAAGTCTCAATACTACATAAAGAGGATAACAAATAAAAAAGGAAGGTAAAGGAATCAGCAATCAGCCTAAATATAAAATTACACAAAAAATGTTCTTCTGTGGGCTGTGACCAAATTTGAAAAAATATCTTTGAAGAAAATATCTAATTGATATTCTCCTATCTAACTAATGGGTTTTTCATCCATGTTTTTTCTCGTGGTTTGTTGTTGGATATTAAACGCTCGGATTCCCTGCTTTGTCATCTCAAGGCCAAACGGTTGCCTCTTATTGTCTCAGAGGACAAACAACATAGTTTCCTTTAGATCAAGGCTGTCCAACTTAACGTGGCCCAAGGGCCACTTCAAAAAAAAAAATGCAGTTTGGAGGGCCGCATTATAAAATGTTTCTATACAACATTATTACTGAGTTTTAATTGGTATATGCATATTCGGTATTTGAGAGTAATTTATATTTGTGATGATATAACCGTGAAGCGGGCTGCAAGAAAGGAGTTCGCGGGCCGTATGTTGGACAGCCCTGCTTTGGATGTTGAAACAGTGACTATCGCGTGTGAGAGGAAAAACAATACAGTTGCAACATTTTTGACCAAGATTGCATAACAATTAACCGATATGTTGCAACAACAGTTTTGAGCGGGTTTTCGCTTTTTTAGTGCTTTTGGTAATTGCGGGACGATGGACGAGGGTGACGTGTCTGGTGCATTAAAAACTCATCATACTCGCTTGTTATTTTGGAGAGCTGATTGTCCTTTTTATAAGGGGAACGCTTACCTATGCGGTCCTGGGCTATGCTAGTTTTGCGACGCGCCATCTTAAAATTCGGAATAATGACTTCGCACAATCTCTGTATACGGGACTTTCAGACTATTGTAGTAACACACTGTACAGGAATGTGATATTAAAAAGAAAAAACAAACGGACTGTCAACTGGAATACAGATAAATCAAATATATGTCACTGTACTGAAGAAAATCACCTTGGTGATTGTGACGTTTACTACGGTAAAGGAGACCTGTTTGTAGATGTGGTTTTATTGGCCAGACAAGCTTGGGTAAAGCACAGTGGCCACAAATACTATAAAAGTCATGAAGTTTGAAGCGCGTTGGTTGCAACATGGTTAGTACTCCACAAAAATGTCAAAAACAGAGATAAGTAGACAATTAAACATAGTTTTCGAGAAAAACGCTGACGAATTTGATAGTGCAATTTGTGCAAACAACAAAAAAATTTCTGAAAATGATCAGGGGCCTCCGAAACACCAAAAGCGGAGTTCAAGCGATTTTAATTTTTCTCGTTTCTTGTTATAGAAGGGCCAAGGATTTATGGACAGGCCGACGGACGGAAAATATTGACATGGTTTTTGGTGGTCATCTAACATCCAAAAATCATATCTCATTTTCGAAAATTTTCGCGATTACAATATTTCCTCGCCACTAGCGTGGAAAGTAAAAGGCCACTGTGGTGGCAGAAATATCGTACAATAAAGAGACTTTAAAATATATATGTGGTTTGATATGGCCAGACAATGAAATCCTATGAACATGAAAATCATATGCTAAGTTTTAAGAGTTACATAATATTCCATATCATCAAATCAAATCAGTTTTGAGTGAGTGGTTCCGCATAAAGCAATCAAAAAATCTGATATAGCTTCTGAAGTAGAAGTGGATAATTATAAACAAGAATTGAAAACAACGAAAGCCCTAAGCTCATTACATAAAAAAGCCACTCTGTCATGTAAATGAAATTCTCTCACGTGGATATTTCCCATCATGTCCAAAAATCGGGGTCATAAAACCAATTCTTGAGGAAGGAGACATACGAAACATCTACATTAATATCGAATATAGCTAAGATTGTAGAGGAAGTCCCTAAAAAACGCAACGTCGCCTACCTCAATAAATATGATTTTACTGGCAGTACAGCGTACATTGCAGACGGCACTGTTTTTCTTTTTGAGGGCACTTTATGGCCGCGGAAAGGGAACTTAAGTGTATTTTCGACTGGTTCAACAACATCTAACCATAAATTTTGAAAAACTAATGTATATCCCTTTGACGTGCACCACAACAACCGTTCCGGAGTTCAAAATATTGGACACTTTGTCAAAAGGATTAACATTACAAATTAACGAGGAACACCATGTCCGATATTTAGGGGTTGATATTGACATATTTATGAGATGGGATATTCATGCCGGAAATTTAATAAAAAAATTGAGAACAAATGTTATATAAATGTTCAAAATTAAGGAGGATACTGAACAATAAACAATTAGAAATGGTGTATGTAGCCCTGGTTGACTCGCTTCTACAATATGGAATTGGTGGATGGGGAGGGATATATAGAGCTTAAACAAATTGAAATCATACAAAAACGTTTCCTTAAAATTTAGCTGGAAAAAAGGAAAATTTACGCTTTCGCTTATAAGATTTTAATGTATCACCACAAAAATAGACAAGTTAGAAAAAAAGAATAGGTATTTTTAGCAAAAAATACTAGGTTTTAGACATTTAGACTTACATTTTATAGCACCACGTATAATTTACTCTGTATGGCCTGATCCGAAGGAAAATATTGTTTTTTAAACATTTCAAAGTAAGACTGATAGAATGGATAATATGAACACCTCGCATGATTTTGCATAGATATACAGACATGGAGAGGTAGTGTTTCGAAACTTGGACTTGTGTAAAATCCCTCAAATACTGGAATATTTTATTTCATAGTAATATATTATATTTTTATTCGTTAATTTTTATGGTTATGCGGAATAATGTGTTAAATATTTTTTGTGGCTTATATACAGTATCGGACAAAATTAGAGAGACTGTGCTATTTGTCCATTCAAGTTTTCTGTACTTAAAATAATATTAATTTTTGTTAAGCAGTGTATTACCGGTTACCAAAAGAATTTCATTATGAACAGTTTATTTGTGTACCTGATGGTATTTTTGTTTTAGGCATTTTTTTTGTATTGATAAAGAAATACCTGCGACAAAATTAGAGAGACTCGTTTTGTATTTAGTTTCTTTCAGGTGCAGATGGTCAAGTGTTGGATTGAAACAACAGAGAAAATTATTAGCAATGCGTCGTGGAAAACATCATTCCATAGATTTAAAAGAAAAAATTATAGAAGCTTATAAATCAGGTCGAATTTTGGCTGAGTTGGATGTTCTGGGAGTTTCATCTAGGACTGTTCAGCGGAGTGGAGGCGGGACTCTCTGCAAGGAGACCAGCTAGAAAACCCCATCTATCAAAAAAATGTGATAGCTAGGATGATATTTGCAACATGTCACCCGCCACTGGATAGCTAACTAAGAACAGGAACAAGATTTTGTTTAGTGACGAGTCTAAGTTTGATATCTTTGCAAGTGACGAAGTGCAGTTCATACATCCTCCAGCAAATAAAAGACTTGATCCGGAATATGTTTCTGGGACCGCTGAGCATGGAGGCGGCAATATAATGGTTTGGGGTTGTTTTTCGGGTATGGGTCAAATCCACAAAACTGAGGGCACCATGGATCGATTCATGTATCGTACTATATTGGAAGATGTAATGTTGGCTTTCGCCGAATGGGAAATGCCGATAAAGTTTACGTTCCAACATGATAATAACCCCAAACATACTGCCACACTTGTGAGGGAATGGTGTGTGGCAAATAAAATTCAAATTTTAAAATGGCCACCGCAATCACCAGCCTTAAACGCCATTGAACATCTTTCGGAGATAATTGAGAAAAAGATTCAAACTAAAAATATCAGCAATCGTGCTCAGTTATTTGAAAAGATTACAAATGCTTGGAAATCAATGGATCCAGCTGTAATTTCCAGTCTCATTGAGTCGATGCCAAATAGATGACAAAAAGTCATTGAGAATAAAGGGTACCGGACGAAGTATTTGTTTAGTTTCATTAATATAGGATAGGATGTATTTTAAGGATAAGTCTTTCTTATTTTGTCGCATAGAATTTTTTATATTTTTTTATTTTTTCTAGTAAATCTTTGAAAACAACGTTTATGAATTCATTTTAGTATCATTTGAAACTACTTAATGACATACATCTTTTAGCTCAATTAAAAAATTCAATATATTTCTGTATTCCATAAAAGTCCTAATTAGTTTAGTCTCTCTAATTTTGTCCGATACTGTATTGTATGGTGTATGATGCTATTTGGCTTCTAACAGTATAATAATTATGGGAAATAAGTGTAAATGACTTTACTAAAAATCGTAACTATATTTTAAGTCAACTAAGAATTACATAAGATTTAACCAACTTTTGGTGAAAATAGTGACGATATACGCTATTGAATGTGAACACATATTAACTATTAGCAGAAATTATCACATGCAGGCTCTTGAATAGACATCAGAATATGTTGAATAATCGTAGAAAATACTGTAAAATGGTGAATATACTTACTATGACTCGAGCACAATCCTCAATATCCGACTCCCTCCAGCCTTTTCTCAGTTGAGAATGCTGCAGTATCTCGTTCCAACGGCCCCATCCGAACGTCAACAGGCCCCTTTCGACCATGAAGCACTCACGTCTCGCCCAGCTGCCATAAACTATGTCTCCTCGCGGCTGTTGCTCTCCCTCGTGTCGCGGTATATAATCGTCTGGTCGGTATTTCTTCTTCTTTAGCTGGCAATTCAAAATCATTATAGCTACATACATACTCGCAATCTACATGGTGGAGCCGGTTACCAGGCCACGATCGCCACCCGCATCAATAAATAATAACAGGTCCACCAATTCAAAAAGTGGTGTGTGCTTTTGGAGTCCCACCATGTTTTTCCTGTGCAATTATTTCAACCTGAAGTCAAAGTTCGGGGTCGGTGGACAATTAGTGCAGATGTGCATCTCTTCAGAGGACTGAGAGATACACATCCACCAATTCTGGAGTCTAAATTACTTTCATATTTGTCCGTCTTCAACCAAGTTCCACTACGGGAAAAATACAGTGAGACCCCAGCACTCACCAGTTTTTTTGGACTTGTGGATCATTTTTGCATTTTCTCTGAAATTTGTCCACCGACCTCCTAGTTTTGATTTTAGATTCGTATTCAGTGTGAAAAAGTAGATGGAAAAAACATAGGCGGACCACAAGCACACAGCACTTTTATTTTGTGGGCCTGCGTAATTAACAGTAATATAATAATAACAACAGCAATAACAATAAAAATAATAATAAACAATAATAACATTATTAATAATAAAAATAATAATAACTTTTCATAATAATAAAGAAAAATATACATAAGATTTTCCAGCTTTTTTTATATGTATACCAAAGCAGCCGCGCAGGCAGAAGCCTAAATGCCGGGACACCGGGGCTGTTATGATGATCTCAAAGAAATTTTGTCAATACGATTTTGAACTACCTAAGGTTAGTAGAACTGAATGTATCTCAAGTCAGTGTATTTAAGAAACCAATGGAATTATCATCAACACAGATTATTAACACACAAATCCTCACTATGCACCTATGCACTGCCGTTTCCTACCACCTATAGTTGGACCAGCGAAAGATTGCAAGCCGAAAGAATGCGGACAAAAAATTGCGAAGTTGTCAGATGTTCTACATAAAATGCGGTCCATACATATTAACATATTTAAGATATAGAATTGTTCCGCTGAATTTGGCAATGTAGCTGGAAAACCCAGGCCGCAGGTAAACATCCGGTCGCTGATTGGTCCAAAACTCTTATCTTATCTGAAACTAGAATAACGTGCCGATGGCACGGTCATTTATAAACCTACTCCCATAGGCGTAGGCAGTTGGCAAATACTTTGAAAATATAATTTACTGTTTAGTGGTGATAATGGAATTCAAGCATGGGAAAGTTATTCACAGCCAGGCAAGGGAAATAATAGCAAACGTGATACGTGCTTGCGATGCAGAAGCGGCTAACAATACTTTCGTTTATCCACTGGTAGCTAGAAATGCAAGGGCGGCATATTATACGGGTGTTAGTGAACGAACTATAAGTAAAATTAGAAAAGAAGATAAAGACAGGCAAAATGCAACCTCCACACAGCCTTTAGCTTCTCCCGGAAAAAAGAGATCACGCCCTTCTGTGATCCAAAAAATTGATGGAGTCGATTTTTCCATTATTCGGAGAATGATAGAAAAATTTTACTGTGATTTTAAAGTGGTACCTACTTGTAGTAAACTTCTAATCAAACTGAAGGAAGAAATGGAATTTCCATTTGGTAAAGAATCGTTGAGGCTGCTTTTAAAAGCAAAAGGATTTTACTGGCGTAAATGCCACAACAAAAGGAAATTACTAATGGAAAGACCCAGTATTTTACATTGGCGATACAAGTATCTTAGGTCTATTAAAAAGTTCCGGGAAGAAGGAAGGCATATTATTTATTTGGACGAAACTTGGGTTGATAATGACCTCACTTTCAAGAAATGCTGGCAAAGCGAAGAAATTATGGGTGTCCTGAGCAATATAAGTTCTACAGGTAATAAAGTTTCTTTCACCTCGATTTTGCTTATTATACATTTTTCTCAATTTTGGAATATTCTTAATAAGTGCTCATTTAATTTGTCTAATTGAATACATAATCCCTTGCAAGTATTTTTTTCTCAAAAATATGTTTTTTATACATAGTGATTCAAAAAGGTGTTGGCAAACTTAAAATAACACTAAAATGAGGCTATTTATTCATTTCCAGGACGACTTATAATTGTTCATGCGGGTTCGCAAGATGGTTTTGTTCCTGGAGCCTGTCTCATTTTCAAGGCTGGCTGTGCCACTGGTGATTATCACGGTCAAATGAACCAAGAAAATTTCACGAAGTGGCTTACTGAAAAACTATTTCCTAACATTCCTCCTAATAGTATTATAATAATGGATAATGCACCTTACCATTCAGCTTTGGAAGACAAGCCTCCAACTAGATCTTCTCTAAAAAGAGACATCATCACGTGGTTGAGCAAAAAAGGTATAGAGCATGATCCTAATGCTAAAAAAATGGAGCTTTATGAAATAGCTTGTCTACATAGGCCACCATCTGATGAGAAAAATTATAAGATAGATAATTTAATAAGAAGTTTCGGACACACCCCACTTCGAACGCCACCCTATATGTGTCAGTTTAATCCCATAGAGATGATTTGGGCACAAGTAAAATTTTTCATTAGAAGCCATAATACAAGCGGCGAATTTACTATAAAAAAACTAGATGAAATTTCTAATAAGGCCATCGCTTCAGTAAGTGCCAGTGACTGGCAAAAGGTTATTGGACATGTTATAAAAATTGAAGATGAATATTGGGAAAAAGACAGTCTCATTCAAGAAATACAGGAAGAAATAATAATCAACATAGGAGGTGAAAGTGATAGCAATGACAGTTCCTCAGACAGTGATCATGACTCTAATCAGGATTGAAACTATACTAGATTGGCTACCTTTTAGAATTTTTAGATATTCATTTATTATACTATTGGTTTGTGGCTTTTAGTATCTCAGTAGAAAGTCTAATTCTATGTGTTGTTTATGGGTTATTTCATCAAGAAATTACTTTTTGTTTTCCTATATTTTTCTATTCAGTCAGATATTTTTGACTTGTTGTATTCTATTTTAGAAGAATGCATAATTTGTTTTGCTGTTCAATCATAATGCGTACATAGGAATATTACTTGTTGCCTAAAAAATATATTTATTTTGTTCTCAATATTCAGTGTTTGTGTATATTTATTTCTTATAATGTATGTTTGGTATCACGTCATTATGAATCGCAAAAAAATATTAATACTACCAGTTGTAATAAAATATAAATTCAATTAATAATTCAAGTCTCTCCGATCTCCGCCTATGACTCCATATAAAATCGTCTAATGGTAAGGTTTTTTCATCGCATTTCCCCCTTTCGTCCCTAGCAATCTTTGGCTGGTCGATCAGTACAGAATACAACCTACCGACCTTCAATAATGCCATCTCTGAAGCAGATATTCCATCAATCAGAGGCAAACATTGAAGCATCATGACGTTTAGGCAACACGTATAACTACAAAACAAGTTCATAACAAGTGTACAACAGCTAGTGCTAAGTTGACATCTTGTAGAAAAACCTACGTTATGTCGCAAAAAACCTATGTTGAAAAACCGACAAAATGTCACTTCTCAAGATACGTAATGTACGTGCCGGTATCGGTGGATGGTCGAGTTCTGCCAAAGAGCAGTTTATATCGGCTGGTCGGAGTCTAGATCACCGAGTATTTGGTCTGGCATGAACACATCTCGTCAATAGCGGCAGCTGCTGGGAAAAAGCTAGGCTATTTGTTTAGGGCTAAGAGGTACTTTTCTCTACATGACCTACTCACCCTATACAAGGCCCAGGTAAGACGTAGTCTCGAGTATAGCTTACATGTTTGTGTTGCTGCCACCCCGACTACATTATTCACGCTCGATGCTGCCCGATTTCCGCCCTCCATCCTAACCGTGTCGAACTTCGTACATCCAGAACTGGCAGATACGACCGCTTCTCTGTTCCTAGGGTATCAAGAATGGAAAAACTCGAGAGAAGGCTATTCCCAGTTCCACTAACGTTAGGCAGTTCTCAAATTGGATTAACAAAGTTTCTCAGGGATCCTCATAGCAGCCTCAGTGTCCTGGCATTTAGGCTTTTGCCTGCGCAGCTGCTCCGGTGTAAAAGAACCAAAAAAGTCTGGAGTAAAAGTGAGTCCCGGATTATTGTCATTACCCGTAAGATGTTCGACAAGTCCAAATGTATGAAAAACTCGTGCAACCCCAGTTATCTCTACGTTGTGCAAGTAGCCGTCAATATACTTGCTTGCAAACCAAAACCAAAATACACGCGATTGCGTATGGGAAGAAACGAACGGCCGATAACATATCGGTATTGGCGAATATCCTAAATCGCTCGATCTCTAAAAATGATAAAAATAGGTAGTTCCATTTGAAAAATTACGTGTTTTTTTTTTTAGAACTTGATTACAGGTATCATTCTTTTTTTACCACTCTGCATTGCTATTTAGCTAAATATCCCATAAAACCAAAAGAAAATCATTGAAAATCGTACACGATTTCTTTTCAATTAGCCCATTGGTTAAAACGACACTTACCTTGTGTCGACGACTGCGCAAACCTCCGGCTAGTCCCTCGTTCTCAGGATCAGAATCCGAGGAGCTCTCTAGCTCCGACATATCGATGGCGTTCTCGTCATGGCCGTACCGTTTGATCTGCGTACGCCTGCGCGGCTCTGACAGCACCAACTCCTCGTTCTCGTCCTTCTCGGTGGTGTCGATGTCCGCCTTTTTGGCCCATTTGTTCCAGAAATCAGGATCGTCAATGGCGATGTCTGATCGGTTGGCACTTGACGCGAAGCTCGCCTTCGAGAAGGTCGAGCCTTGCTCAGATTCCATTGTTATTACCTGCGTACAAAGTAGATATAATAAGTTAGAGTGTATGTTACGCAAGGTGTTAGAAAATGACGAAGTTTAATGATAAATGGAACTGCAGGTGTTAAAATAGATGCTGAAGTTTCGGCTGATTTGGAAACCTCTGTCAAAGTACAAATTAATAAATGCAAAAAAACGAGTGTAAAATTATTCCAACATTGACATTCCATTTGACGCCATTACAAGCTTTATTTACTTTATCTGAACTTTTGAAAACATCAGTTTCTCCAGCATCTCTGACTTTTTTATTGCAATCAAGTTCAGAATAAGAGTTACTATGTAAGCCCGTAACTTTTGAAAACATCAGTTTCTCCAGCATCTCTGACTTTTTTATTGTGATCAAGTTCAGAATAATAGTTATTATGTAAGCTCGTAAGTTTTGCAAACAAAAGTTTTATACTTTCTAGAGGTGCATATCCTTTAAATAAGAATATCTCCTTTATCGACTATTAAAATAATTGCGTCAAGAAGACTGACTCTATACTTCTTACGCCTTCGTTCAAATTCGTAAGTTTTAAAACGAAACTTATGTAGGTACATTCACTTGTGTAAACCTCTACATCTTAAACTATATACAATATTTCTGTTTCACTGGTAGATGTATGGAAATATGTACGATATTAGCGCCTTCTTAATAACAAAATTTCTTTCAATGAAACTGGAAATGTAACATTTACAACCGTTCGCTCCACACCCTCAACAACTCCATCAAATTTCTAAACATGAGCAGGGATTTCTGAAACGTTGAAACAGGATGTTTCAGTGATACCCGTAGCTCCGCCGCCAATGAATCAATTTTCAAAAACTACAAAACTTTTTCGTTCTTAGCACAGTCACTTTGTGTTAAAATGACATCAATAATATTAATAACATTAGTAATAATAATTAATAATAATGGTAATAACAATGATAATAGTATTTCTTTTATTTAAATTGCTTTGCGTATATGAAACGTCAACAGGAAAATGTCAGATCGAACGCTTTTGTCATATCAAAAGCAACGCCATGAACCTCACCATAAGACTGGGCGAGTTTACTCAATTGCTTGATGTAAGCTAGCAGGACCCCTCTGGATCGCTGGTGCCGGAAACCATACTGCCTGTCGCTAATCAAACTGTGACGTTCGAGGTTCTCCAGAACCTTGCGATTTATGCACCTCTCCAATCACCTTACTTATGACGGAAAGCAGAGATGAGATATAGGCCTGTAGTTGTAAGGGTCGGTCTTAGATCTCTTTTTTGATATGGGTTGGACATCAGCAAATTTCCAATTTTCTAGGAAGGGGCCGGATACGTAAGACATCTGGAAGAGACGCGAAAGAACTGGAGCAAGCTCCGCTGCACACCCCTTCAATACAACGGCAGGAAGTCCGAATCAGAAGGTTTGTTGATGTCGAGAGACAAGAGCACCTGTCTTACGGTCTTATGCCTGAATGTTATTTCCCGCATAGTGCAGGGAACCCTTTGAATCGACGGCACTCGGGCGTTGAGGCAGCAAAGATATTGGCCAGCACTTCTGCCTTAACCTTTGAGTCGGTTACAATGGTTCCATCCTGGCATGTAAGTGGTGGAAGGCTACTCTATGAAAAGTTCCTTTCAATCTGCTTGGCCCGCTTCCAGAAAGACCGACTGCCATTTGTATACGATATTACCCTGTGCCTAATTTTGATATCGTGCTGGTCTTTGGCAATGCGGTCCGCTTCGCTATACAAGGATTGTTTCAAAAATAAAGTTCCCACATTTTTTTTCATGCACAAGGAATTCTTCATTTGAAGAAACAAATTCACCATTGGAATCGTTGGTCTTTAAGCTATTTTTCTACATAGTCGCCATTTTCTTCAACGCATCTTTTCAGACGTGTAATCCATTTTTGCACTCTCGCCTCAAGGAAGTCCGCCGCCAGCCCGTTTAGAAACTTTGTAACTGCTTCTTGCAATTCCTCGTCCGTCTTGAACCGTTGACTACCTAGGTGCTCCTTAAATTTCGGAAACAGATGTCAGGGCTGTAGGTAGGATGGGCAATAACTTCCCAGCCAAACCGCTCGAGTCCTTGGTATAGTGTGACATGCGAACGCGCATTGTCGTGGTGCAGTCTCACCCTCTTGTGAGTTTTCCCCTGCGACGATTTTGGATTGCCACTCTCAGCTTTTTCAGAAGTCTCGGGAATTTTAACCGCTAGTTCCAGAGCTAGAGCAAGATTCGCTAAAGCTTCGCCAAAACTTCGGAGATTGACGACCTCCCGCTCCGTTGTTCATCGTGGATGTTCGTGCGGCCGACGGAGGAGTCTCTACACAATTTTGAACACGTTGAATGCTTATACACGTTTTCCCATATACTTCACTCAACTGGAGTTGAATTTGTATGGGTGGTAACTTTTTGCGTGCAAAAATCGGTCGACCGCACGAATTTCGTGACGGCGATGAAGGTCTCCATTGCGCATGTCTGCCGGGCAGGTACTGCGCGTCGCAGATAGGCGCTAGTTATTAGGATCGGTGGTGGGGGAGTCGACAAACACGACGGTCTTGCCAGATTTCGCCTAGCATCACGCGCGGCAAAGTTACAGCGTTGGGAACATAATTTTTGAAACAACGCTCGTATTTGTTTTTGGACTCGACGTCGGCCAGTTTGTTCTCTACAGTGGGGTTTTGTAAGAAGGTTCTGGGTACCTTGATCTTCTGCTAACGAGCAGTGCCGCACCATACGCTGACCTAGCCATTGGACCCTGGTTCAGCCACTTTCACTGTATGAGGGATGTATTCCTCGATCCCAACGTAGACAATTTCGGTTATCAATCGAACAGACAAGGAAAGGTGGTGCAAAAGTCTCCGAGCCCCTCCCAGTCGACATGTCCGTAATGCCAAATTTTAAGGCCTGGGGGAGTTTCTGCTGCCACAGCGGGTTCTGACAGAAGCCTAAGCTCCACAGAGTTACCCAGGGGAGACAGGAGAGCAGTGCTGTAACGGACAGGACGCGTGATCTGAAAGGCATCCAACAGGCTACTGGCATGTGACGAGACGCGGGGGAAAGAAATAGGGCTCGTCACCAGCTGCTTCATCGGTCAAGGGACAAAATGCGTGGTAAGAAAGAGATCCAGCTAGCCTTCCTTGCTATCGATTTGTGATATCTTTTTTGTTGAGGAGATGTATACCATGAAAACCAGTGGCGTGCATAGAGAAGGTTTAATGAATGGTAGGCTCCTCCGCTACTGATTGAGGATAAGATACGCGTATTCTTCAATGTTGTAACGAGGAGTTTTCTTCACATGCCATATAGTGTTTCAAATATCAAACGTCACGGTGATTTCATTATAGGGGAGGCTAATCCTTCTCATACGAATATATATATATATATATATATATATATATATATGAGAATATGATCATGCGGAGAAAGGTATATAACAAGTAGGAAAATAATGAGCAAAATCCGCAAAAAGGAGGAAAGTGGATTCGAGCAGAAAATACGATAGGTAACCCGAGCGATACGTATTTCTGCTGGTTGGCTTCATCAGGCCCGAAATGAATGCACATATGAAACTACAAAAGTAGATACACATTCCCACACATCCGGATACGGGTGTAACCTGAGGAAACGAAGTTGGAGGGGAAAAAAACGACACACGTAAGTTCATAGATGATGTACATGATTAAACAAACTATTTCATATACAGTAATGGACAAAAGTAGACAAATATGAATATTTACCTAAATACCTTTAGAAAACAATTCATACTTCACTGCTCCATAAACAAATGCGATATTAGTGGAAAAACTAAATTCTTTGTTTTTACATTATCTGCAATGAACACAATACAAGTCTGAATATAAGCACTTTTTCATGAGGGACAAAAATATGTAGACAAATTCTTTTCAACATTAGTTTAGTACACTTTCGTGTCAGAAGAGGATTAGTTTGTGTTCATCAAGTATTGTGGAATAAGTTGAGTGACTTTAAGACCATGCCACGTGGACCAGAAATTTTTTTCGACGTGAAAACTAAGATCACTGAGTTATACAAAGAAGGTCAACGTCAAGTCGACATTGCAAAAAATTTGAAGCTGAAGCGAAAACCAGTTTGGGCAATATTGAACAAATATAAACAAAAAGGTATCTTGATAGCCTCTAAGCGAAGTGGTCGGCCTAGAAAACTAAATTCTAGATCTGTTAGATTAATAAAAGTAATTTCCTCCAAAGATCCGTTTAAAACTAAAAGACAAATAAAAGCCGAAATCGAGACAAAAGGAATTGCCAGTGTTTCTACGAAAACTATAAGTAGAAAATTAAATGATTTGAAGTTATTTGCACGTCGCCCGAGCAAGAAGCCGCTAATCTCGAGGAAAAACCGTAAGGACCGATTACAATTTGCACGGTTGCATCTTGATTGGAGCATTGGAAGGGGGTATGTTTCAGTGACGAATCCAAGTTCAATATGTTTGGATCAGATGGTGTTCATTACGTTAGACGTCCTAGTGGACGAAGATTGAACCCCAAGTACACCTTGCCCACTGTCAAACATGGAGCCGGGTCTGTTATGGTTTGGGGATGTTTTTCGGGGTTTGGGATGGGACCTTTACACAGAATAGATGGCATTATGGATAAGTTTGTATACGCAGACATACTAAAGCATACCATGTTACCCTATATGGAAGACAATATGCCCTTAAGATCTTTGACCTGAAGCACACTTCAAATACCAGTTCTCAAATGGCCTTCACAGTCTTCCGATATAAACCCCATTGAAAATCTATGGGAATACTTAGTTAAGCAAATACGAGATAAAAATTATTCAAACAAGGATGAACTTTTTGCCGCTTTAGAGCAAAAGTGGAGACTGATGAATCTTATATCAAGAAACCTCTACAATCTATGCCGAGACGATGCCAGGCGGTGATTGATAATAATGGTTATGCTACAAAATATTAACACAAACATGGTTGGTTTTCTATAATTCAATGAACTTTGCTTCTTTTTCTATAATTGTTTTGCTTTGTCTATATATTTTTGTCCTTCATAGTTCCAGTTTTTTTCAATTAATTTTTTATTGAAGGGAGTGAATTTATTTATGTATAAGTGAGTATTATGCCATAACGAATTATGAATACAGGTTGGTGTATTCATAAAACAAGATAAAAAAAGAAATACAGCGCAATATTAATTTGTCTATATACTTTTGCCCATTACTGTATATGTCACGAATACATGTAAAGAAAACAGCATTTCTATTTTTGAGATTAGTCTTACGCCTTGAAGAGGCTATTCCAGGAAGCTGAAAAAGATTTCTGCCAATTTCCCTTTGCCACTTTGCTTATGAAAATTTTGATGAATAGCTCTAGAGATTTAGTGGTTTCCAAGATACAACCGTCGACTTTTATGGTCCGCCCGGTACATGGGTGTGCTATTATATTGGGAACCAAGAAACAACTATTGCTATTACCCTCAGTGATCTTACCTGCGTTCTCCTCTCTAAGATGACATCGATGTCTTCCTCGCAGAACTTATCTCCGTCGTCCTCGTCTAACAGGGCACCGTATGCACCTTTTCGCAGCAAATCTTCGATCTCTTTCTTACTCAACTGCCTGTTACCGGCATCTTTATTCTGCGAGGTGTTCATGCTTTGTAAAATAGCCTTATCCAATCCGAGCTTCAAAGAGGCTTTGTCGAACATCTCTCGTTCGTATGTATTCCTACATAGTAACCTGTAGATCTTTACCATTTTTTGTTGTCCGATTCTGTGACACCTACAAGAACAGGATAGAAGTTCATAATTCGGTGACCTATACTACAAAATGAATTTAGGCAGATATGTATAATTTGTATTTGAAAATGTTCAAATTTGTGTAATGTAAAGTAAAAATAATGAAACAGCGTCAAGACTATTAGTAATTCCTCAACAAATTCTGTCATCAATTAGATTACATCCGGTTTATTTCCAAACATAACGCCATGCGAATTGTAATTCAAAAAGTCCACCATCTGAGGTATAGGATCAAACTATTTGGAACTAATTTACAACAGATTGACTTTCCTAAAACAATTATTGAACAAATTAGCCCCCAAAACACTCAAATTGCATAGAAACATGAACGAATTTTTGATTGGACCTTCAGCTTTTTCAGTGGAAAAACAAATCATATTGTTGCATGTATGTTTATAGACATTCTAGCGGACTATTATTTTCGGAGACATTCTTAGTGTACATAAACTTTTCTAAACATATACTATAATAAGACGAATAAAAATATAGAATATAAAAATTACTACTATGATACAAAAGAATACAAAAGATAAAAATAGCCAAATTTGTCTACTCACACCAAAAAACAATGTTTGTCCAAGGTCGTTTATGTTTCAAGTTCCACTCACATACAACCATATACCATGGAAATAAAAAATTTAGAATATTGAAAGACTTCCCAAATTATGAAATAGTAAGATTCACTTACTTCGTATTCAAGATAATACATTTATAAAAAATTGAAATTATGTATAACAAATATTTATATTAAATAAAAATAGGATTAAAAAGATGTGGAAGAACTCGCCTCTGCGAAAATCTACAAATTATGCAAAGTGCACTATTTTTACGTACAACTCAAGCCTTTGACACCCTATACTGTCATCATTAGAGGAGTGCTTCAGCAAGATTGGTGCTAAGATTTGATCTAGAAAATGTGCATAGTAGAACGATCAAGAACTGGATTTATGAGGTTCTTTTTTAAAAATTATTAAAACCCATGGCCATGTTTTACCAAACACCACAAATGGATTTGAATAAGTTACTGATTCATTCTTTATTAAAACTTTTTTGTTTCACATTCTGGAATAACGTCAACAAGCCAACGTGCCCAGGTCGGCCTTTTGACCATGTTTTATTAATGAATTAATCAGTCACTTTTTCAAATCCGTTTGTGGTGTCTGGTAAAACATGGGTTTTAATAGTTTTTTTTTTGATCGTTGTACTATGTGGTCTCATCCACATTTCCTAAGATCAAATTTTAGCACCAAACTCGCTGACGCACTCCTGATGATGCCAGTATAGACTGTCGAAAGCTTGAGTTGTAAGTTAAAAGAGTGCACTTCGCATAATTTGCCGATTTTCCCAAAGAAGAGTTTTTCCACCTAGCTAGTTGTTACAACAAAAACTATAAACCGCGTACATATAATATATATGTGTATATATATATATACAGGGTACTTCAAATTCGACTCTCATCATTGAGATCTCGGAAACTGTAAGAGATACGAATGCGCTTAAATAAGGGAAAAGTTGCGAATTCAGATAATCAACAAAATGCCGCTTAGAAAATTTAAAGTACCTCCGCAGAGAGACGAAAAAAACGAATTTTCCCAAAATCATTGTAATTTTTACTGACTTTATTTGTAGTGGGATGTATAAATTGCATATTAACATTGCCTTTTTCTCCTCTACAAGGTAAAATAATTAAAATATCAATATGACCTTTCGACTCTTGTCCTTCAGCATCAACTTTCATTTTTTGATACGGACGCGATATTGGATTTTTACACAGATGAATGGAGTATTCAACTCTGATTCCAAAAATGTATAATACATTGACACTGCCCACCTTTATTTATTTCAAAAAGCAGAATTAGGTAGGTAGGAATTGAAATTATCAGTTAGTCGTTTGTTTTTCATGCCAGGTTTATATCGTACTCACTATCATTTTTTCCTGATCTTATTTGAGATGTGAATTCAAAATAAAATGCATGATGTCATTCTTTCTTAATCTTCTCTACAATATGGCGTACACAAATTTATTCGACATTTGTTCTTTTGACTTTCATCACCAACTTGTTTTTTCCAACGCTCTGTTGGCGCAGTTTAGGTGCAATAAATCCGAGTTTTGGTGCCGATTAATTACTGTAGATGAAACTTCGGTACACTATTATACGCCCGAAACAAAAAGGCGTTTCCTCAAATTTATAAGGGGTCCAAGCATTAGCGGACAGATAGACTGAGATCGATGAGATGCTTTTCATTACCTGCAATATCCAAAACGCATATACCTCATTTTCAAAAAAAAAAAATGCGATTCCTATGAGAAATGGAGTTCCAGAAATGATTATAATGTTGGTAGTGCCCGGAATAATTTGCAAAAGGCTATTAACGTACCTAGCTTGGGCTTGCAAGTCATTCTGCGGGTTCCAGTCGCTGTCATAGATGATGACCGTATCAGCAGCCGTCAAGTTGATTCCTAGACCACCCGCCTTGGTGCACAGTAAAAACACGAAACGGTCTGAATCAGGCCTGGAAAACCTATCGATAGCAGCTTGCCTCAAGTTTCCCCGGATCCTGCCATCGATCCTTTCGAACGGGTACTTCCTGTACATCAGATAATCTTCGAGAATGTCCAAGCATTTTACCATTTGACTAAATATTAGAACTCTATGTCCATTTGCCTTCAGTTTAGAAAGCAGTTTGTCGATCAGCACCATTTTACCGCTAGAGTTTATCAGCGATTTGTAGTAAGCATCAGGGTCATCTCCGTGTTGATTCTTGAAGTCGTACTGGATTTGGTCTTCAGCACCGTTCAAAAGGTAAGGGTGGATGCAACACTTTCTCAGCTCCATCATGGTATTCATTAAATTAGGAATATTGGCGTGGGTAGTACCTAAAAACGAGAGAACTATAGTTACCGTGTAAACAAACAATTTAATAGGACATGCTGTGCCTCTAGCCCAATTGCAATAAAGCCACATTTGATTTGCATTTATAGCCTCCTGGGAACATTTTGTTCGGGTGCTGAAAACCATTCCTCTACGGCAGATATCATTTATTGATAACATATTTTTTCCAGTAAAAGGTCTTCTAATTTTAGAAATAGTCTGAAAGACTGGGGACTAAGTCTGGCAAATAGGATGGGTAATCATCCAATTCAGTGCCTGCTTGGTTCAAGGCGGTAAAAGGAATGTAGGAGGTAGGCTGGGAGTATTATCATAATAGGGCAACACATCACTTGTTAAACTCACTAACCGTTCCTTTATTAAACGCAACTCGCAATCCGGAGATATTAGGTGTGCATAATAAGTCCGTGTAATGCTACATGTCCACCTTGAAAAACCATATCATGAGTTTTCTATTGTTTTGGTACTCTTAATTATTGTAGGACGCCTCTTTGGCCTGCTTGTTTTCTATTTAGCTTTGCTTCAGTGGTCGCCTGGTACTGAGCCATTAGAGATTTTTTCGCGAGATCCCGTAGCGAACGCAGCGGGAACAGATAGAATTTCCCCTTCCTCTCGAAGTTTTGACAGTTTCAAGTTATACCGGGGGTGGTTAGATGGCGCATGTTGTGCAAAATGTTTGCTTCAAGCTCCTTGATAAATTTAGCTGCCTGCCTTCTTCGAATGAGAAATAAAAAGACCGATCGTTTTTTGTGCAACGTATATATACAGGCTGTAAAGTTAGTAGTGGATCAACGGAAGTCAGGTGATAGAGCGCCTCAAATCCTATCGAATGAATCCATATATGGTGTGGTCCGAAATTTTATAGTTCAGGAGATATTTACAATTTTGTGAAATTTCGAAAAAAACGGGTTAATGAACTTTCAATCGCAATTACACCTAAACCATCAGGTTTAGGGCTGTAATTTTTTTTGATATGAACTAAATGGTTAGTTGTAGCAATGGTTATGTCACTTTTTAACAGAGCTAATTAGAAATCTTCGCAAAACATTTTAGAATAATTTTTTGTGAAAAATCTTTTCCATCCCTCAACTTTGGAGTGCGTTAAAAAAATTGAGGTTGTATTTCATTATTCATTTTATTGTAAAAACTATTTCAATCCATGTAGAATAAACCCTGAAAATTTCAGCTTGCTACGATAAGTGCCTCACCTTAAAAAATCTGTATGTTTGACGCAGGTTGGTATCTATACATTTAAACAAGAAATTCTATTTTACGAGCTACAGTCCAAACGACTTGATAGATTTTGACATATCAGATACTGTTAGATTCGTCCTAGCAGTGCGAGTGATACTGTGTGTATTAACATTTTGTAAAATCAAAAGGGCGGATTCATCCGCAAATAGCCAAATCAGCTTAATGGGAGCGTTCAATTTTCGGTCCGACCGAAATTACTAAGTCAGGCAATGGTCCAGCGCAGAATTTGTATCTAACGTTTGGCATCTGCGTAGAATCATGTCATATTTTCCGCGAGATTACGCAGAAATGCATTACCACTATGGTGCTGCACAAGGAAATGCTCGAGCAGTTGCTCGCATGTATCGAGAGTATGTGGTTAGAAGAGGTGGACCACAACCGGCGGTATATCCAGACTACCGCGTTTTTCTACGCGTCCATAATGCGTATATGGAGGGCCGCATTCCAGGTACTCATCGTCAGCTAGGAGCGGCGATGATACGCCCAAGAAGAAATAGAAGATATAATAGAAGCAGCCGTGAGAGATCCCTCTATAAGCACCCGAGCCATTGCCCGAAGCAGAAACATATCCCATACTTCAGTGCACATAATACAACGCTCGGAGAACATGAATCCTTACCCTGTATAAAAAGTACAAAAATTGCTTCCAATCGACTATGCACAACGTGATGAATTTTGTGAGAATATGTTGAGAAGGTGCGAAGAGGATGAAACTTTCTTGGACAGCATCTTATGGACAGATGAATCCAACTTTAACCGAAATGGCTTTCAACGTCAGTTCGGCGTTAATTTATGGGCTGGCGTACTCAACAAAAAATTATTTGGACCATATGAATTGCTCGCCAGGTTGAATGGTCACTCATATCTTGCTTTTCTACAAAGCAGTTTGCATGAGCTGCTAGAGGAAGTACCTTTGGACGTGCAAAGCCGCATCTATTTTCAATGCAATGGTGCCCCATGCCACTTTGCACGGGATGCACGGCATTACTTAGGCAGTGCCTTTCCTGGGCGTTGGATAGGTAGAGGTGGACATATACGATGGCCTCCAAGGTCACCCGATTTAAATCCTCTAAATTTTTTTACATGGGGTTTTATAAGGGGATAATCAATACATCTGAATATACAAATGTCAACCAACTGCGCCAGAAAATTAATGAAGCAAAAATAAAAATTATGGAAAACGCAAATTCATTTCAAAGACTAAAGGACAATTTTATTAGAAGGTGTCGCTTGTGTATAGAAAATAATGGAGGCCATTTCGAACATGTTCTTTAAAAGTTAGTTAAATTAAATTATCTTCCATATTTGTCGGTAAATCGTCGTAAACAGCGGCTAAACTCAATATGTTCTGTACTTGTGTAGGTGGTAACGATTCTATTGAGTTTCTTACGTTTATCGCATCACAACAACGAATGTGACATGATACACTCATCGTAGCAGGCTGAAATTTTCAGGGTTTATTCGACATGGATTGAAATAGTTTTTACAATAAAATGAATAATGAAATACAATCTCAATTTTTTTTACCGCCATCCAAAGTTGAGGGATGGAAGAGATTTTTCACATAAAAATGAATTTAAGATTTTTTGCGTTGATTTCTAATAAGCTCTGTTAAAAAGTGACATAACCATTGCTAAAACTAACCATTTAGCTCATCTCAGAAAAAAATCAATGAAAGTTCATTATCCCGTTTTTTTCGAAATTTCACAAAATTGCAATTATCTCCTGAACTATAAAATTTCGGACCACACATATAGGGGTTCATTCGATAGGTTTTGAGGCTATCTATCCCCTGACTTCCGTTGATACACTACTAACTTTACACCCTGTATATCAATAAAATCAACCATTTGATATGATAAGTGCAGTTCCTATATCTTCGATGACCTTCTACCTCATCATTTAAAATCAGGTGGACGTGTTCCTCCATTTATGATTTGAAAATTTAACTCAATTTTCGGCAGTGCGAAGACAAATTTTCAATTGTGATGATGTTTTTTTAAATAACATTAACATAAGACCTGTCACCCGCTAGTATGTCACCGACGGTAGGCGGTTACCCGTACCACGTGATTTTTTGACATTTGTAGAACGTCACTTCCGTCTTCCCCTATTCCCGTTCTTCACGAAAATTTGGTCAAATTCAAGCGAATAACCAAATTTATGTACCGCGGTTATAATATGGTTTAAGATGGCATACGGGTTGATGACGTCAGTTACTCGAATCGCTTGAACGCGTTGGTTTTAACCGCGGTTTTATTGCAGGTTGCTTATTTTAGAAAAGCGCGTATAAAATTTCTGATTACTTTTATTATCACTTAATAGTCGGTGTTTTTTCGTCTACAACAGTGATGGAAAGTTTAAAAAGAAACCATTCATAGGCATAGGAACTAGATTTAAAGTGCCCCCAACAACAGTAATGAGTATAACTAATAACGTGCTCTACCTTATGCTACAACTGAAGTTAGCCTGTATCAAGTTTCCCAAAAAAGAAGCTGAAGTACAACAAAAATATCCAATAACCGCCAGAATTCTAACTTGTCACATTTTAAATAAAAGCCAGAAATATAAAACTACTCCTGAGTTGGGTAAATACAACAATTTTGCGGTGATAACTATGACATATAACAGCTGATTCATGACGTCGCGGATCTTATAACCAAATTGATAACCACACTCGCTTGCACGAATCGGTAAATACCAATCATAAAATGGTAAATATCGTTTTCATTTGGTTATTCGCTTGAATTTGATTCTAGAGTATCGGTTCCCGGTAGTGCACTGTGCTACACTGTGGACTCGCGAAAATATCCTTAATATTTATAGATTTCTCTATCCGGATGTGTGGGCAGGTGTATCTACTTTTGTAGTTTCATATAGTCCGTACCATGAATGTTGGCATATACGTCATCACTTGATGCATTTATCCACGACTGGCAGATTTTCTGCCATCTCCTTTTAACGAGTGAGCACGACCGTACTGGATAACAATAACATATGTTTTCTGGTGCTATGACAGAAGTTGGGAGCGTTGCCGCTTACGCAGCAATGTGTTAGACAAAGACGGTATTATTAGGTAGGTCGCACTATATCGTAGGTCACGGTGACAGCGACGATCATGAGCGTACGGTTTGTATAGCAAAGGTTCAGACCTGCGCGGTTGATTTTTGCACCGTTTTCCGGTTTGTTGTTCTTTACAATTAGTGTAAATAAAGTGAATAAAAAATGCCCGGCAAAAGACTTGATGGAGTAGCCAGGGTGGTGAAGCTACTAAAGTATTTTGATCGCGAAAAACGTAATAATGGGCCCTTATTACCTGTGGACGCAATTCAGGAGGTAATATTTATATGTATGGTTATATGTATTATTGAAAAAAGTTTCACGTTGTTTTTTCTCCTTGCGTCATGTTTTTCTTGTTATGTTACACATGTATTAAAAAATTATATTATACTTTAATTTTTATATCTTATATTACATTTTCAAATGGAGAGAAACTATCAAGACAGACAATGAATAACTCTGGTTTCTCGAAGCTTAACTCTCGAACGTCTCGAACTCTCGAACGTTGAAAAAAAAGTTGTAGGGTTTTTTCACCATCGACAGAACCTAAAAGTTTATTCACATGCCTATCACTAATACATGTGACATTATACGAAGTCTAATAAATCATAAAATAAATAAATTAAATTTTCAGCGTGTTTCCCACGCAATGGGCATTAGTATGCGGACGGTGTCACGTATTTTCAGAGAATCAAAAGAAAACCGAAAGCCCGTAGACCAGGAAGATCAAGCTGCCTCCAAAACAAAAAAATATAAGCCCCTGGAAAAAACAAAAACAGCAGACTTACCAGACGCTGTGAAGATGGAAGTGAAAAATGCAATTTACAACATGTACTCAGAAAGTACGTATTTTTGTCCATTAATACGATTTATTTATGTATTAATACTTACAGAGAGGCATGTTACTATCAAAACATTAAAGGAAGAATTGGAAGTCAAACAAATAGTGGACATAAGCAAGATGTCATTGTGCCGCTTATTGGCTTCCAATATAAACAGGAAGACAACCGGAAGGCGCTTATGGAGAAAAGCAGTGTCGTTGCTTTGAAAGCAGAATTTCTGCGCAAATATAATGAAAATGGAAACTCCCCCTTTAAACGCACAGTTGTTTTCTTAGATGAGACATGGATTTTTGCAAAAGGGAACAGGAAGAGATCCTGGCAGGACGGATCCGTAAAAGGGACCCGAAAACCTTGGGGATTTGAAGGCAAACGCTATATTGTATTACATGCTGGTCACAGTGGGGGGTTCGTGGAGAATGCTTCACTCATCTATGGCACTGCCTCAAAACTGGCAGATTATCATGGAGACATGAATGGCGATATATTTTTGAAGTGGGTCAAAGAGAAGCTGGTTCCAAATTTGGAGGAGCCATGCCTCATTGTTATGGATAATGCTTCCTACCACAGTGTATTAGTGGAGAAGCAGCCAATATCATCTTGGACAAAAGTCCAGGTCATACAGTGGTTGGAGGGAAACAACATTAATTTTGAGAGGAACCAATTTAAAAGTGAACTCTTAAAATTGGCCAAGCAGCATGCTCGGCCTGCAAGATTTGTTGTTGATGAATACCTACGAGAACATGGGCCTGAGGTACTGCGACTACCGCCATACCACTGCCAGTTCAATGCCATCGAACTGATATGGGCACAGGCAAAACAATATTATGATACCCATATAGGCGAGGAAGGTTATGGCGCTGACAAAGTGCTAGGCATGTGGCAGAAGGCATTGGAAAACTGTACTCCTGAAAGATGGGCCTCTGTTGTCACACACACGGAGGGAGTTATAGATGCATGGTATAACAGATAACGAATCCTGGATAATGTGCCAGAAGTGATTATCACAATCAATGGAGACGACAGCAGTTCAGATGAAGATTTTTAAGACAGCGATATTTATTTCGGTCAAATCTACCCATGAAAGCTTGAAGGAATTGTTGTGTGATAGAGCCTGGTAATTCATCGTAACTTTGTGTTCATATACGCTATCTACCAGTACAAATAAAAAAATCTATTAATTACCTTATATGTTCGAGTATGTTTAATTTTAGAACTTAAAACTGAAATTTCAATATTTTTCTCAATGTTATGCTTTTTCAGAAAATATTCTGTTTTTCTTCATTTCCTGCAAAATTGAAATATGTTCCTTAAATCGCGCATTCAAATAACAATGAATCAAGACTTGCCGTTTTGTGCAGCAAATATTTTCGAAATATACAGAAAATACTCTTTGCCGCCTGACACAGTACATTTTTACTACTAAAAATCTCTTCCCGGGGGCACGCCTATGGATATTCGCCTATGGTAGAAAGTGCCTACTTCAAAACTATTTGCTCGCAAATGTACAAATGATGACGTGTACGCCAACATTCATGGTACGGACTATATGTGCACTCATTTCGGGCCTGATGAAGCCAACCAGCAGAAATACGTATCGCTCGGGTTACCTATCCTATTTTCTGCTCAAATCCACTTTCCTCCTTTTTGAGGATTTTGCCCATTATTTTCCTACTTTGAAAATGATCATGCGGAGAAAGGTATATAACAAATAGAAAAATAGTGGGCAAAATCCGCAAAAAGAAGGAAAGTAACCTGAGGAAACGAAGATGGAGTGGGAAAAATATTAGACACGAAGTCCAGAACAAGAGCCAACCTACACATTGTAGTATAAAATGGCTAGACGACCTCGATTTTTCAAAGCGGCAACTAACCACAAGCACGAGGCCGGCTTTAGCCACCTGCTGTGGAACTTCAAGCCCAAAGAGAAAATGATCATGCGGAGGAAGGTATATAACACATAGAAAAATAATGGCCAAAATCCGCAAAAAAGAAGGATTTTGCCCATAATGTTTCTATTTGTTATATATCTTCCTCAGCATGATCATTTTCTCTTTGTAGATCCTTTGGGCTTGAAGTACCACAGCAAGTGGCTATAACCGGCCGCCTGGTCGTTGTAAGTTTTCGCCTTAAAAATCGAGGTCTTCTAGCCATTTTATACTACAATGGTTGGCTCTTATTGTGGACATCGTGTAATTTTTTTTCACGTTCATCTATGTTTCCTCAGGTTACACCCCTATCCGGATGTATGGGCATGAGTATCTACTTTTGTAATTGCATATGTACATTCATTTCGGGCCTGATGACGCCAACAAGCAGAAATACGTACCGCTCGGGCTACCTATCCTATTTTCCACTCGAATCCACTTTCATTCTGTTTGCAGAATTTGCCCATTATTTACTATTTCCTTATTTGTTATATATATATATATATATATATATATATATATATATATATATAGTTGTATATACACATATAATTGTATACAAAAAAAGCCCAAAGCTTACAACCAAGCTGTTCCCTTGATGAAGGTAGGTAATTTACAAAATTAATCATTGCATATTCATATACTTATCGCATTTTTTAAAGATTTGATTCGTTGTCACAGGCTTTATGAGATGTTGGATAAGAAACATTGTATCCCAGTGCATTGTTGATGTTAGAGATGCCTGTTCACAAATAATTGTAGGACTCTGGATTGTGAAGAGTGTCAGGCTACAAGTATGTATAATATCTAAATGTGTGTATGTGAAAATCATAATCACTATTGACCAACATTATTTCAGGATGCTCAAAATATCATGATAATGCAGAATTACCAAATATGAAATATTACAGAGAGTAAATAGAAAAATACAAATGGGAAGATACAAGAAATTTGCGATTTATAAAGAGAATCACTTTCCTGTTTCAAAATAATGGGTCTTTTCTGAGTATCTAGTTGTTCAACAGGAAAGTGATTCCCTAGATAGATCACAATTTTCTTGAATTTTCTCATTTGTAATTAATTGTGGAATTTTATGTCATTAAGTTTTTTTTTTTTTTTTCTTCTAATCCTATACAACCATGATATTTTGAGCATCCTGAAATGATGATCAATGGTAATTTTGATCTTCATATACACACATTTTCACATTATACATACTTGTAGCCGGTCAATTTACACAATCCAGAGTCCAACAATGATTTGTGAACAAGCATCACTGACATCAACAACGCAATTGCAATTGGGATACTATGTATTTCATCCATGAATACATCACTTTCTCATAAAGTTTGTGAGAATTAATAACACCTGAAAAAAGCGATAATTATATAAATATGAAAATGCAATGATTAATTTTGTAACTTACCTACCTTCATCAAGGGAGCAGCTTGGTTGTAAGCTTTTGGACTTATATATATAGAAAAATAAGTCCATTTGCATTAAATTGTTCATTTTCCGACCATTAATATCAGATATGCAATTTTCCTAACCCAACAATTTCCGGAAGAGATCACAGCTTGTGGAATTTGTTCAATGTACGGAAATATTATTGACTAATCGACAATATTTGGAAGAAAATAAATATTTCTGCATTTGATTCATCAGTCTCAAATTTCCAACATCAAAAAACTACAACCTAACATCAGAATAGGTAACACACCAGAAATCTAGAAATAATGGTTACCAAGCAAAGCGTCCTGTGATTGTAGGAACGTCTGACGATACTGCCCTAAAATATTATTGACCCACTGCATAAAATACCCTCGTGACTAATTCCGAGTAACAGCTGTGGCAGCGCCATCTGCAGCAATTGATCCCCACTAAGCCACGTTAAGCGATAAATTGCACGAAATAATAGTAATCCTCTAATTACTTACACAACTCGCCTGATACAGTTTCACCACTTTTGCAAAGACTAGACAGCTACAATATAATGTCATCTGTGTTTTTGAAAACAACAGTAGTCCTGGTATCTATTGATATTTCAAATAGTTGCACCACTATGCATTTTTAATACAGTTAATGGGGATTGCTTCCTTCAGATGGCCCTCAAAGCAGATATGGTCATATACACTAGTTACAACCATCAGAGTGACAAATAAACTTAATATTTTGTTAACACAGCCCACTAAGATAACTTGTTTAACTGTGAAAAAATCAGGATCAGATCGTGATATGTTTAAATTTAAAAATAATTATGGTTCACGTTCGATTATTTTCTGAAAATTGGATCAATTTCCGTGTCCTCCGAGAAAGTGTGATATGAAATGATGCTTTTAAAGAGGAACCCACCCTACTTATTTTTTGAATGGGCCAAGCTAACAAGTTGAAACTGAGGGTGATAAAATTGATGTATGAGTATTATATTTTACCATAAACGTAGCAGTTGAACATTTCATGGTGGCGGATAGGCGCCACTGAGTTATAACTGGACAAATGAGTTCTGTACTGTAAATCAGTACACGCAGTTAATAGTGTTTTTTCCAAAATGAAAGATCTGCTGCTTAGCTTAGCCAACATTGTCTATTCCATCGATTGTAATAATTGTAATTTAATATAAATAGACAAAACATAAAGAACCTTAAAAAGCAGAATAACATCACACAAAAATGTGTCCAGACTGCATCCAGAAAGATGTGGTTTGGCATCACATATTAACATACAGGTTATTCTATGAGTTATGGCGGTGTTGGTTCCTGAGAGAGAAGAACACCTTTCCAAGCGTTTCTTTCTAGAAACGTGTTACTTTTTTATGACGGATAACCATATGAATAAAAAATCGGATGTTAAGCAACTTAGTGTCATTCATTCATACTTGCTGAACTTGGAAAAACAGGAACGAATACATATTTCTCACAGTACTAAATTTTCACAGTAATTTTTATTGTTTTACTTATCCACGTTTTTCTAACATTCAACACCCACCTCATCAACTAATTAACAAAAGTTCAACACCGCAGAATCCATGTACAAAGCCCATTTGTGAGCACGTATCCTTCCGTGGATGTCTTTTACCAATTTTATTCTTTACTTTCGCTTCAGAGCACACGTCTCATAGTCCGTTTCCTATACAAATAGTGAATTCGTACCTCCAAAATTGATTTTTTTTCGTTGAGCCCAGAATATCGACGATCTGGTGTCAATAAAAATTTATTCGGTAGTGATTTACCAAAGAGCACAATATTACAAAATTATGAGCTTAGAGAAAGTTATTTTACGTTTTCTCCAAATTTCACAGATTATTTCTTTTTAACTATGATGTTGAATTTTTCCACTGCAGTATTATCAAAACCTTGTAAAACACACATCTATGTCTCAATAATCTGAGAATTAGAGAAGAGCGGGGTAAGAAGTACTAAGTCAGTCTACTTGTCTCCTATTTTTTACTCATTATTTGGACGTTAACTGAGATTCAATTTCGGTTACTGGATTTATGCACCATCCATTTTACGCCAAATCGGTAATTTTTTATACTAAGTACATGAGGTTCAAAAAACATGTTATTGATATAATAATTGTCATGCAACATTTGTTTAAAAATTGCGTTTTTTGCATTAAACTAATCTTAAGGAGTGATTCTTTCATTCTGTGATTACTTTGTTGCAACAACAAGGTAATAACAAACTAATTAAACAAAATATTTAAAATTTCAATAAAGTAAAAAGTCCCAATAAATAATGTTCAATTTCAATTTTCTCCATACCATGATTTTGTTACATGACACCTTTATCCAATTGCGTCTTCAATTATTGTAAAATGCAAGTAGCTATTATAAATGAACCATATACCTTTAGACAAAAAAGAAAAATTCCTCTCAAGAATTCCTCTGTAGTATTTCTTTTGGATATTCGTCAGCTCAACTTCCACAACAGTCTCTTCTTTTGGTGCAAGCGACTTTTCAACATCCTCTTTTAATCTCCTCAGCATCATAGGCTTCAAGAGACACTGTAATTTCTGCACTTCTTGTTCCGTTCTCAAAGCCCCGAATTCCTGCAGGAACGCATCACAGTTGGAGAACTGCGTCGGCTCTAGGAAGTTCAAAAGGGAGAACAACTCGTTCACGTTATTCTGTAGAGGCGTGCCAGAAAGTAACACCCTATGTTCCAAATTCAACTGTCTCAAGCCCTCCAGGAGCTTACAGTTGCGATTTTTCAGTCGGTGGGCTTCATCTATAACGCAGATTCTCCAGTTGAAACCCCTCAAGTCAGCAAAATCAGTCACTATAATCTCGAATGTGGTTATGAGAACATTGAACTTTGTCAAGTCTTTGATGAACCTCCCGTTTTCATTCTTGTAGAACATCTCGTACTCTTGTATCATGTTCTTGCTAGTCGCAGAGCCATGGTAGACAATCACGTTCATATCTGTCCAGCTCTCGATCTCCCTCTGCCAATTTGGAATAGTGGACAAAGGAGCGATCACCAAGAATGGGCCTCGGATGCCAGTTTCCCATGCAGAATTCAGGAAGGTCAAGCTCTGGATTGTCTTTCCGAGGCCCATTTCGTCAGCCAGAATACAATTTCTGCCATTGTACCATGAAAACAACAACCAGTTCAAGCCTTCTAGCTGGTACTCTCTTAGACTGTTACCTCCTTTGTAAATCGGGGACTTTTCCAGTTTCACCCACTGGTCTGGAGGAGGTCGTTTCTTCGGTTTCCATTGATCTTTGGGAGGTATTTTGTTGAAGCGTATGTACTGTTCTATCTTCACTGGATCCACATCCTCCTCCAGCTCCCAGGTACAGTCTTCATACTGCAGAGCGCGCCATTTTACCAAGTAGTGTTTTACAAGCTCACCTGTGGATAAAAGAAGAACGATAAGTTATAACAAATTTCATTCTCGAATATTGAGTCAATTTTTGAAGTAGGTGATAGAAGTCATGACTAGCAAGCATCTTATAGCCACTCAATGTGAGACATAAAAATCAAGTCCTATTTTATATATATATATATATATATATATATATATATATGTATATAAACGATCAAATTGTTTATTGGGAATAGGCAAAACTTAAAGCATAGTGAAATCTTTTGACTGAAATCTCAAGCTTTTGACAAACTATGTTGTCATCTTCAGGAGTAGTCGATGAGGTTGCTGCTAAATGGTGTTTTAGAATGAAAACGTGGATGAGACCACTTGTTACGATTATAAAAACAAAAGACCGGACACATTAGGTTAGTTGTTAACAATGGAACACTTAGCTATGCGTTACAACCATTTGTCAATAAAACCGAACGGATTAAAAAAGGAACAACTAATCAAGTTATCTCAAAACTACATTTTGGCAGCAATTTCATTTATCACCGTATAACTATTACTCGTGGTGAACGTTGTGTCAAAATTTGTTCAAAATTCGAGAAGTAGGCAAGCAACAAAAGAGCGAGCTGTTTTTTTGTCATACAATTCCAACGAACCTATTATCCGAAATTGGCGCGGCACTCAAAAAATGTAGCAGTCATAAATATTTCTATATATATACAGGGTGACTTCGAAGTTGAGTCATTTATTTTAACAGTGAGTAGACCTGATCAAAAGAAATGTTTTTTTCCTTTACCATTTTTCTGGTAAAATTAAAGTAACAAAGTTATAGCCCTTTGGAAGTTTGAGTACCGCCCTGTCTCAATAATAATATTATGTGGTCGTGTTTGGCGACAACGGATATAATCCGCCGTATCGGTTCATCGCATCGGAAACAAAAAAGCGAAAGAATTTGGAACGATGGTTTTACAATCATTTCATTCATTTGTATACAGTCAGTGTCAGTGAATAGTGGTATCTGTTGCGTGGCTCAAACGAAGTAAAAAATGGCACATGTTTATGCGGATCGGTTTCCCAATCGAGTGCAACCAACCCCTCGTGCCTTTGTTAATGTAGTACAACGGGCTGGTGAATCAGGTGACTTAAGACCTCACAGGGGACCTCACGATCAAATACAGGTCCGCACTGAAATACTTGTCGGGAGGATACTTTATAAAACAAGGTAATTTTTTTTTTTATTTTTACACACATATTTTGGTTTATCTTCCTTCTACAATCATTATCTGAAAATTAATGACTCAACTTCAAAGTCACCCTGTATATATATATATATATATATATATATATATATATATATATATGCCTAGAAAAGTACTGCTCGCCAGCACGATACATTGTGTTGATGTTTAAAGATCGTCATTTCTCCATAGCTCCAGCTGTTTTGTGACATAAAGATATGTTATATTCCATTTTTCATCATAACATGTAGAAGTGGCTAGTTACAACAAATAATGTAAATAATGTACTTGTATTATTAAACATTATGATTATAGTCTGTAAATAGTGGAATGTGAGATGTATAAGAAATGAACATTATGGATATTTCGCAACGCCAATATGTTTGAGGATAATGTCAAATACTCCAAGAAAATTGGCATAAACATCGTCGATCAGACCAATAATTCGTGTAGTTTTCAAAGTTGGTACAGCTATTCCTTGACGTGTCTAGATGAACATACTAAAAGTCCCCGACTATGGGGGGTGAGCCGACTGTGGAGGGCGAAAAAGTCCCTTTTCACTTATTTGATGGATCTCGTAAATATATGTGTTAAAAACTGTCTTTTTCACATCGCCAATGTTTCGGAGTTTATTTTCCGCCTTCGTCAGGGCTAAAAAAAGTGAAAGAATTATCGAATTTTAAAATCGTAAATGCAACTCTGAAATGAAAAAGTTCAATTCCAAAGATTGACCAACAAAATAAACAAAGATATACAAATCACAGAACTAAAACAAACAATAACTGTAAACGTGAGTGCATATTAAAAAGCTAGCATATAACTTTAGAGGTTTCAACAAATAAGAAGAATTATATAGAAACATATCGAAAATCCGGAATTAATGAAATGGCGTCAAGTAGGTTAACTCTGCACTTCCCACGCAACGCCGTTAACAATTCATAAAGGATTAAGTTTAGCGCAATTTTAAAGTCAAACGTACGGGTAAATATGGCTAATAAGTGCATTTAAAAACCGAGGTTGCGAGCGTATAAATATACCAAGATTAAAAAAATCATATACCCTTACAACCCCCAAGTTTCAACCCCTACAATAATTTTTCCGAAAATGATCAGGACCTAAAACGTCAAAACACGAAGTTTGAACCAAATTCAAACAGGATCTTTTTTTTCTTCCACCTACCAATAGAATCGGCTAAATACCTCGCATATAGAGTATTCCATCTTGTGTAGGAGTGGCTTGAGAACGACCTGGGGTTGGAAGCTAGGAGTTGACGGAAACCTATAGCTAACAATGGATCTTCCTGCTCTTGACACGTTATTGAGTTCTATCTGCTGATGCAAGAGTGGCCGTTGCGGTAAATGCAGTTTGCATTTATTGTTTTTCGTAATCAAAATATAAAAGTAAATTTTATTTTTTTATCAACTAAAATACCCTGTAGCTCCCAAAATATTGAAGTACAGTATACATGTATAACTTATCATTTGTTGTGAATTTCACGTAGATTATTAATATAAAAGGAATTCTAAAGATATTAATACTTGAGATACAAGCAAAATACTGTTTCAGGGACCTTTCCCCTCCCCTACCACCGGCGCACTTCCCACTCTCGGGACATTTTAGTATGTTGATCTGGACGCCTCAAGGCATAGCTGTACCAACTGTCAAAACCACAGGAATATTTGGTCTGACTTCCTTGAATAAAATATACATGATTACATTCATTTCTGCTTTACAGCATATTCCACTCTGATTTGACTGTAAAATATTGAATAATGGACACCTTTGATTCCCAACTGTCATGTTGCGATCACAAAAACAGCTTGAGCCTATAGAGAAGAAACGATTTTGAAATGCTCAACTTCAACAAGCTGTAGTTTCATTTACAGCAACATTTTATCAAGGCATAGTTGACGAAGTATAATTATTTTCACGACTTTAGGCATTGCACGCTCACTGAAGAAAAGCGACGCGCAGAGAACCGCGGCGAGATTCCGTCGCCCTAATACTAAAACTGCATAACTACACTTTTTCCCTAAAATGACATTTTAGCACCATCTGTTAGAGAAAGGCTCTGTTCATCGACCTATCAAACGATATGTTCATAGGAAGATCTACAATCACGCAATAATCTAAACAGAAACATGTCTATCTCCGTGGACCCAAAAACCGCGAGAAAACATCCTAAATCCATCATTTTATGGCTATTTCTAAATCGATCAAGTGACTGTTTTAGATCTCGAATCCAGCCATCTCTACAATTTCACTCAATTGCTCACATCACTGATAAGAAAACGAATGACTGGTATGTTGTTAGCGTACATTTTTATCATAAACTGATGGACAAATTGCTTTGCAACAGGAAAATTTTATCCTAATTCAAATCTCGATATTTTCGGAACGGAAAGAGATATCGAGTTGCGGTATTCGGGAGGTTCTTGACTAACACTGAGAACACGTACAGGATACGATCGGTATAATTCTTTTATTCATCCACTTACAGGATGAGCAAAATAAGTCATGTTTTTTTAGCAAAGTTTGGAGCTATGTCAGATTCTCAATTTTTGACCTTAGAAATTTTTCTATGCAACTTATTGATCTTTGGACTATCCTAAAAAAATGATATCTCAAATTTTTCGAATGTTAGCTATATAACTAAAATTATCGAATTTTTAACTAACCGCAAGAAATGTCTTTCGGCTCGACCTCGTATTTTTTTTTTGTATTACCCTCTCCTTGCAAATAGGACGTTTCTCTAGTTTCATCTTAACTACCTACACCTCAAACATGCAATTGCTAAGTAACAATAATATTGTATGTAGACATGACAGTATAATTTTATTTTCTCAAAAGTGCCTCGTGTTTTTCAAAAAGAATGAGATAATTGTAAAAGATTATTGGGATAATGTCGTTTAGTGAACGATGTAGATTTAATTTTTAATGTTGATTGGTCCTCAATACACCGTTAAGGCGTAGATATCAGGTTACCGGTGAGACTTCCTACTTGCATGGAGGAGAAAAATACAAGGTCGGGCCAAAAGATTTATTTGCAGGAAGTTAGGCGAAGTAAGACCCTTTCATCCAGAACCTTGAATAAAAACTTACGGCGGCACAGTAGAATAATAGCATCCGATCGTACTGTAACAATAACTTTAAATTGTAGAGCAAGGCGTCGCGCCAAGTGTACCCGACTCTTGAACAATCATAGAGCCGCCTGGTACTCATGGGGACAGGAGCAGAGAGAGAGAGAGAGAGAGAGAGAGAGAGAGAGAGAATTTGAGTTACAGGCAACTTTCGAAAAATTTGAGATATCAGTTTTTACGATAGTCCAAAGATTAAAAAATGCATAGAATTATTTCCAAGATCAAAATTGAGAATCTGACATAGCTCCAAACTTTGATAGAAAACCTGACTTCCTTTGCTCACTCTATATAAATGGATAAATAAAAGAAATATAGCGGTCGAACACTAAGTGTTCTCAAAGAGTTGGTCAAGAACCCCCCGAATACCTCAACTCGATATCTCTTTCCGTTCCGAAAATATCGAGATTTGAATTTGGGCAAGATTCTCCATGTTGCATAGCAACTACAGTTTAGTAATAGTAACTAAAACTATAGTAGTTGTCACCGTTCTTGGCGGGTCAAAGTAAGACTACCAATATCCCTTTATAGACCTCCATCTTCCTCATACATACACATGCAACCTACCCGTGTGTGAACGTTTGTTCGGTAAGCTCAAATACATACGTTTTTTAGTTGTGGGTCTCCGTCTTGAAAACTTTGTCGTTACGTATGAGTGCCCTTCAATCATTTTTGTCAGAGTGACAACTTACTTGACATCGGCGTGCAATTCGAGTTGTGCTGTTATCAATCTTCAATATAAAATTGTACAATGCCCGGAAATACGATCAATGGAGAAGGCCGACAGTTCGTGCTAAATTTATTACAGTATTTCCAGGAACACTGCGGTCTCATGTTACCCACATTCATGCGTACTGGAGTACGCAGATGCGTTGAAGATAATAGATAATATTCCGCCCATGGTACGGAGACTCGATCTGTTTACTTATTTCATATTGCGTTGATGACGTAACAGCCAAGAACGGTGACTACAACTATATCTATCTAATATTATAGACTAAAATATGCACATTTTTGGCGAAGTCAGGCAATATAAATTTACTGTAGTGAAATTAAGTACAGAGATTTTTTGATAGGATAGTTCAGGTGCATACTGTTTCTCGAGCCACGCAGATGGTTCTACTGACGAAAAAACCGATTTGTCAGCAGTTTGCTTAACGTCTGATGATCAAATAAATACATTGTCGATGAAAATGTACCACTTTTGGAGATTTTAGAAATTGAGAACAGGCCAAATTGTCCAATGCCAGAAGAGAAAATCAGTATAGAAGTCGGATGATGGAGAACGAAACCTAAAAACACTGGTAGATAATGTGGAAAACATGGAAAATACTAACCTACAAATTACTGAAGTAAGAGTTAGGAAAAGATCAAAGGTAAAAATTGTCTAAAATCCTGAGAGTAGAAGGTTAACAAGAGGAAGAGAGAACAGAGGGTCCAGTATGAGGGCAAGAGGAAACAAAGTTGGATATATCACCGACCGAGGCCTAGTAGTTTTTTGGGGATGACCGACGACGAAAGATTTGTAACACATTTTAGTATAAAATGAGCTTGCCTGAGAAAATGATGATAGGTTGGTGAAGGTTAAGAAAGTTAAACTAAGAAAGAAAATTTTTTACACCAAGGCAGCCCACGCAGGCAGAAGTCTAAATGCCAGGGCACCGCAGTTGCTATGACGATCCATGGAAACGTCCGATTTTTGGACTGCATAAGCTTAATAGAACTGGGTGAAGCCTCCTCTTGTAGATTGTTCCACAATCTCGACACCCTCGGGACAAAGGAGCGGTCCTATCGGCCAGTTCTAGATGTACGAAGTTCGACGTAGGATGGGAGGTCAAAGTCAGGCATCCTAACCGTGTCAAACTTCGTACATCCAGAACTGGCCGATACGTACCTAAGGTATCGAGATTGTGAAACAGTGTACAAGGGCAGGCTTTTTCGATCTACTACCCTTAGGCAGTTCAAAAATCGGATTAACAAAGTTTCTTTGGGATCCTCATAGCAGCCGCGGTGTCCTTCTGCCTGTGCACCTGTTTTGGTGTAAAACAATTATAATAAAATAAACGGGTTTTGTTATAATGTGAATTTTTGGAATAATTGAAATTAGCTGATCTCAGTTTTGTCGAATATTAAGCAGACATTTGGGTTACTCCACATTTAGTTTGCAAACAAATATGAGAAAAAAATGGATTACTGGCCTACTAAGCATGATATTCTAAAATATTAGGGCGTATAAAATCAACAAAAATTTTATTATATATATATATATATATATTATTGCAAGTAGTTTTTCGTCTTTCCTGATAACTTTGCTGAATTGAACTTACGCAGTTTTCTTATTAGGGCGACAATTTGTCATTTGCACGTGCCAAAGGTGACACGCCGCTCGCATTAGGAGAGTTTCTCTTATCTTCCCTTCTCCTCAGTGTGCGTGCACCTTTAATTATTGATACTCACCTGTTGACGAATCAGTATGCTCTGAAACATCCAGTACCCTGTCGACCTCCACGTAATCTGGATTAAAGGGCTCTTCTTCCAAATTCTCGAATATGTTGATCTGTTGGGCTTGCTTCTGTTTGAATCGCTTGATCTTGTTACCAATTCTTTTATCACCTTTGAACAGTTCATCTTCAGTTTTCCACTCGCAATGCAGGTATGAAAAGTTCCTGTATTTGACGAAGTACTCTTCCACTTCGACCATTTCGTCGTCATCTTCGTCATTCGTTTCGCTGGCCTTGGGTTCCTCTGGTTTCTCTGGCGCCGACTCATCCTTGTCTTTGTCAACTTTTCCGTCTTCCTCTTTATCATCCTGGTCATCCTCTTTTTTCTGCTCCTTTCCATCTTCTGATTCTTCTGTTGGCGGTTTTTTCTCCTCGATCGGCCTGATGGACTTTTTCGGCCGTTTGGTCATTCTGGAAGCAAGAACGTGCTGCACAACCATAGAGTCTTCCTCAGTGGTGTTGACATAAACGTAGTTCATCTGGTTCTTGGGATCCGCAGAGTTTTCGTCTTGTTGTTGTGTGGACGCGGTCGGCTCTTGATCTCCCGTCTCACCTTCCTTGTCCTGGTCTTGATCTTCAATATGTTCCCTTTGCTCATGTTCAAATTGCTGCTGTGCCAGTTGTTGCGCTTGTTGCTGCGCTTGTACTTGAGATGGCGCTGTTGCGGCAGGAGGAGTCGCTGGCACTGGAGCTTTTCTGCTCCTTGCAGGGGCAGCAGGAGTGTCATCATCGGAAAACCTCAACATGACATCATCGATATATTTTTTCCTTTGAGTGTTCCTAGCAGACCGTCGCTTCGTGGATGAGTTCTCACTGTCCTCAGGGGGCGAGGGTGGTGGCGTGGATATGAGGTCCTCTCCTTCGCCATCGGACTCTGGAAGAGACCCCCGCTTTTTGCGTCCCGTCGGCTTCCTGCCCCGCTTGCCTGGTACCCCAAGTGGTTTACGGCTGGATGCAGGTCGCGGCCGTTTAGTACGCTTAGGCAGCTCGGGCATTTCTGGGCTGGGTTGGTCTTCGAAGTTATACTCGTCCTTTTTCGAATCGGGAGCCCCTTCAGCGGGTGTCTGCGAGTCGGCCTGCATCTCCAATGGCCTCTCCGACGAGGATGTCTCCCTTCCTAGTTGTGAATCCTCACGCGAGTCTGGCTCAGACTGTGACTTGTTCTCTGCCGCCTCCGCCTCGGCTTCTTCGACGGGGTGACGGGGTTTCTCGATAATGGACACTGGAATATCATCCATGATGTCTAGCGACTTGTTGATCGATTCGTCTGTAACGCTCTCTTCGGATGCTGCTTCCTCGCCTCCGCTGCCGGGCTTCTTCTTTCTTACGTATTTCCTCTTGACTCGAGGTTCTTTGGGTTCCCGCTTCTTACGTTCCTTCTTTTCTTTGGGCTCTTTTGGTTCCTTGGGTTCCTTTGGCTCCTTGGGTTTCTTTGGCTCTCTTGGTTTCCTTCCTTTTTTCTTTTCTCCTTCGGTTGTTACACCAAGCTCCGTGAACTCGGACATCTCACCAGAGGGGATGCTGAGACCGGCACCAGGCGTGACAAAGTCCTCCGACACGGGCAACTGCTGAGGTTGTTGGACATTCATCGGCAAGACTGTAGTCACAGCTGGAGACATGTGTATTGGTGAAACAGACTTTTCGCCCTTTTTGGCGCGTGGCTTCCTGCCTTTCTGAGCACCCTTGCGCCCCCTGCCGGTAGTGCTGCTTACCTGTGGGCTGTCAATCATCGGAGAAGTGAACAGCGGACTCTGTAGGACGCACTGTGGACCCCCATTGCATTGTTCGGTAGCTTCGTGTTGGCTCAGCACGTTAAGCCTTTCTTGAAGCCGCGCAATTTTCTCTTGATGCTCGGGCGCTGGTGGCATACAATACAACTCCTGTAACTGTTGCTGCAGCGCAGCCCGTTCCTGTTGATGACTGATGGGAGGTTGGTAGCTATGCATGTCCTGCCCAATCATGCCACCCATGTTCATCATACCCATTCCCATCGACAGGCCCGGGTGTCCCATGGGCGGCATGCCGTGAGGAATACCTCTGGCCATCATTTGGCTATTCTGATCGTAGATGTTTGTCTGATGGGGGGGCAAATTTTGCGAATGTGGAGGCATCTGTGTCATTGGTGGCAATTGACTGGGAGGAGTCTGTATCTTCTGGGGTATATTTTGAGAAGGTATTATTGTCATCTGAGGAGAATGTGTGCGTATTTCTGATGTCGGATGGCTCTGACTCATAATGGCAATATTACTTTGGTTCTGAGTAGTGGGAGTCATATTTTGTTGTCCTGCAAGTGGCATTCCTTGAGGTCCAGGCGTCATACTATGAGATGCAAGAGGCATACCTTGTGAACTCGGTGGAATAGCTTGAGATGTTGAAAGTATCCCCTGCGACGTAGGAGGTATACTATGAGATGGAGGTAATCCTTGTGATGCAGGACTCATGTTCTGGGATGTGAGAGGCATACACTGGGATGCGGGAACTATTCCCTGAGATGTAGGAGGCATTCCTTGCGACATATGTGGAACTCCTTGCGAAGTGGGAAGTTGTGAATTAAGAGAGATTCCTTGCAAGGTAGGAGGCCCTTGCAGCCCTTGTGATGTTGAAGACATAACTCGTGACGTTGGAGGCATGCTCTGGGGTGTAGTAGAAGGCATGCTATGAGATACTGCAGAAGAAATACTGGGAGATGTTGCAGCATGAGGCTCATTCACCTGAGAAGGATTATTTTGATTATGTATAGCAGTCACACTGTTTTGATTTTGAATACTAATCTGGCTACCTGAAATATTTGTATTGGGCATAGTAGTCGGTATGTTGACATTTTGACTCGGCATAGGAGAAATACTTTGAGGTGCCATATTTGGCATGCCACCCTGGCCCGATGGCATGCTTTGACTCATTGGCATATTTGCCTGATTGGTGGGCATAGTTCCATGAGCTTGTACACTACTTTGATTTGATGGCATACTCTCTTGACTTTTCGACATACCCTGATTCGTTGATATACTACTTTGACTTGTAGGTATACTGATCTGATTCGACATACTGTCAACTTCGTTTGGCGCGGTCGAACTCATGTTCGATGGAGGACTTTGCACAGTCATTGCACTTTGAGCGTTCAGGCTTTGCCCAACATTCATCACACCTTGTTGACTTTGGTTACTACTTTGAGGACTAGACACATTTTGATACAACTGAGGAACATTTTGCTGTTGACTCTGCATGGTATTGAGATGTTGGGAAACGTTCGGTAATATCTGGGCCGCGTGTGTTTGCGTGGATACAGGCGAATGTTGGTTAACTTGGTTGTGCGGAGATTGTGGTGTGACACTTTGGCTGACATATGTAGGAATACTGGAAGTCTCTCTTATTGTATTCGAAACACTCGACGGGACTGGCGTGGACCTATGAGATATCGGCGACTGTAACTTAGGTGACTGTATAGAGCTGCGATCAGACTTGTTAGATTCTGGGAGAGATTCTTGCGACACGGAGTTCTCTTGACTAAATATCGACACGTTGGATTGTACGAGATCGTCCATCTTTTTAGGAGTACTGGGCTGACTGCCGTAACCTGTCATACTAGAAACGCAATTGAAATCTGTATAGTTGTGGGACGTATTGCTTTGGCTAGGAATCTGTTGCTGAGACGTCGAGCTTGTGTTACTAAGTTCATCTATCTGTTTAATAGAGTCCGAGTTCGAGGGAAGACTAGTATCGTGCACGTTGGTAGCATTATCATCTGTTGTGGAAGTAGGAGTTGGAGTAGGCGGATGAGACGACGCAGACGGTGTGGAGGTGGGTACATTCATCTCCATGTTGGTCGTACTACTCGGCAGCTTGTCGGGAATGCTGGTGGTAGGAGACTGGACTGAAGAAAACTCGCTTTGGCTGGGGATTACTAGAGGTGTTGTTGATGCTTCCCTTTCCCTAGATTGCTGCATCTCAGCCATGGAGCTCGGAGGAGGCTGTTTACTTACTTCTCCCCTCAAGTCTTCGTTGCTATATCCTACATTCATAGTGGGTGGCTGTTGCATTTGATTACTAGGAATGCTAGAAGGCGGTAGAGTTTGAGTAGATGGGATGTTCTGGCTAGTAGGTGGCAAAGGTGCTTGATCCATCATTCCTACGGATCCGTTCATAGAGGTCATGAGTGTAGGTTGTCTGGTAGGCTGCATCGGAGGCCAGTGCTGTTCGGTCATAGGGTTCCGCATGCCTTGCGGTCCTTGCGGAGGACCTAACGAACTTCTTGGTTGATATGGCGGGTATTCGGTAGAACTACCACTAGATGGCGGCATGACCATTTGCTCCAATGCCTGTAAAGTACTCTGCAAAGGAGTAAAACATAAGAAACGAGAATGGTACGGAAATGAGTATCTACAGGGTGTTTTCAAAGCAGCTTCCTTTACACAGCGTGTAGTTATTGTAAAAATAATATATTTTTCCTTATAACACATATGTCGAAGCTTTAAGATAGCCGAGATATTGGGATCTGAAAAATCTGAGATATAAAGCCGGACCTGTCTCCAGCGCGCAGCAAATGACTGATGAGAAGTATTCAATCCAGGCATATTGTATTGTTTACAAACTAAATTCGAAAAAAAAAAATAATAAAAAGTTCTATAACAATAGTGAACTTGCGATATACTGATAGTTTATCCTGTTTTCAAAATGCTACCAAGGCTCATGAGAAGTAGTCAATCCAGGCATATTGTATTGTTTACAAACTAAATTCGAAAAAAAAAATAATAAAAAGTTCTATAACAATAGTGAACTTGCGATATACTGATAGTTTATCCTGTTTTCAAAATGCTACCAAGGCTTCGAGAGTGTACTTAGATTGTTTTTTGGGAAGTTTTCCTGTGCCGGATATGCACTTTAGTCTCGTACAAAGACTAAGGGACACAGGCCGTTAAAGGAACGTCGAGATGGAAACAGTGAATGTTGCAAATGTCGACTGTAAACTTGTGTTTTTGGAATCGAAAACCGACGACCTCTAACAGTATTCATTAACATCATGGGCATGACAGTATTTGAAATTTCTTATCAAAATGGATAGTGGATACTTTTTTCAAAAAAACTGTTAACGCGTTTACGCTGCTATTTTTGCTTTGTCATTTCAAGCACAGTTCTTCTTGAAAAAAAGATCCAACGATCAAAACACCCTGTATGTATTGTGTGTTACAAATTCTGATTCTGGAAATGAACTTTGAAGTCTGAATCATGCTTTTAGGAATACTATTTTTTATAACTACTTTCAATCTAATTCAATCATGGCACCTGTGATAATCCAAATTCTATTGCAAATTCCAATACACAATCATTTATGAATATAAACTAACAACATTATATAATACGATAAAGTTTGCGTTTATGGTTGCAAACCTAATCTAAAAGATACTTAGGATAAGATGAAATATAATGTACCTGTTGTGAATATGGTGGCGCTGGCGAAGAAGCAGTGACCTTAGGCGTCAAGCTGCTGGCAGGCCTGGGGCTAAGCGTGGTCTGCTGCATTGCAGGTGAAGGATGTGGTGACATGTTGGGCTTGGCCGGAGACATAACGGGTCTTGGGGACATCTGTGATGGCGGGGGAGGCCTGGGGGACATCTGAGGTCGAGGAGACATCTGCGGTGATAGTTGAGGAAACGTGGCGCGGTACTGGGGACTCACATTGCCCATCGGCCCAGCCGTCGAGTGCTTCGTCTGAAACTGCTGCTGTTGACTCGGAGGCAACTCCATCTGCCTTTGCATTTGCTGCAATGAGCATGGTGATACTTTAGTTTTACACATCGGGTATTTCAAATTCAACTCTCACCATTGGGATCTCGAAAACGGCAATAAATACGAATTGGGCTAAATTAGGGGCAAAGTTGCACATTTAAGTAACTAAGAAAATGACACTTAGAAAGTTTCGCAATACTGAGTATTTCCGGGGAGAGACGAAATAAACAGAGTTTTCACAAATTCCTTTCAGTTTTTCTTGGCTTAGAGATGGGATTTCAAAATAAACATCACATCAACAAAGCCACTTTCTCTCCTTTACAAGATGCAATAATTAGAATTTCAATATGACGTTTCGTCGCTTATTCTCAATCATCAACTTCATTTTTTCTTATAGTCGTCATATTGGATTTTTACACAGTTTTTAATTCTGATACCAAACATGTACCTTTGCAAAAACCGTATAGGCTTTGAAATTATGATTATTCCTACATTTTTATGAACTAAGCATTCGTAAACAGCCCTTCCCGATTTCAATGGCGTCATGTACAAATCATGACATGGATTGATATTAGAAAAACTCAAATCGAATGAAGAACAACTCACTGCTAAAACTTTTTATATTACTCTAGGGCCGTATTGAAACCAGTCTTATCTTTTGTAACTGAAACATTTTGGAGTAAATAAAAGCCTCAAAGCTCTCTAAACATTTTATATCTTCCATATCTAAACCGAGGCACACATCTTGCTTCCAAATACCATTAATATATGGCTGAGGCGTCATGTAGAGCAACTCCGTCGTGATAGAGTAACGTTTCGCAGACATTGAAGAATTGATGGTTTTTCATTTTCAAAGCTAAACTGTGACAATAGTTTTTTTTGAAATAACTTAGGTTTGAAAAGTCAATATATGACATTCTACCTTTTTGAAATCAGGATTAAAAACACCATTGACCAAGTGCAAAAATCCACTAAGGCGTCTATAAGAAAAAAGATGATTGAGGAAACGATACGGAACGTCTTATCGAAGTTCTATGCGATATTGTAGAGGAGACAAAGTGTACTTCTTATTTTGGAATCCCATCTCAAATAAAGTCAGGGAAAAATAAAAACGATTTTGGAAAAATTAGGTTTCGTTCATCTATCTCCGGGAATACTCACAGGTCAGTACAGTTGGAAATGATGGAACATACGGCAGGTAGTAATACGAACACAAATACGAGTACACTAACTCTCACTCCATACAAAATTTTGCACTAGACCTAAGCAACGAAAACCGGTCCACATTGTATAATTTGCCGGATATCAATCGAATGCGCTGATGATAATAAAAAGGTATGTGCGAATGAAGGTTAAAATATCTAATTCACGTTTGCGGGAATAGCATATACTGTCAACGATTTTTCCCGAAAATAAACATAAATATCTGAAGGTCAAAAAAACAGCATCAAAGACTAATTATGATTTGGGGAAACAAAAAAGCTTACTACTAAAAAACTGTAATCACATAATACAGTGAACTCTGCCTGGAATACAGTAGGTGAACTAGGTGATAAAAATAAGACAACAAAAAACGTTGTATTGGATGAAAATGGGCAAACTATTACTGATCATCAGAAAGAGTGAGATTTTGTCTAAAAGTGTATTTAATGAATGTTTTGATATTATTGGAGCAAGAATATTAATCCTGATGAATTACTGTTCAAAATATGGCGAATGTCCAACAAAACTGAAGTGTTCTACCATAACTTTTGTTTCTAAAGTTAAGAATTCTGAGTTGTACACCAATATGCGGCCAATCAATGTTCTGCCAGATGTTGAAAAAGTCTGAAGAAATTATTTTCGAACAGATCATCGAATATATTGAGGGAAATAACATTTTAACCAAATTTCAAGCCGGATTCAGGAAGAAACACTCAACTGAAACGGCAACAGAAATGGTTTTAGAGGACTGGACGAGATGTATGGACAATAGGAAACATACAGTAACAGTGTTTTTGAACTTCAAAAGGGCGTTTGAGACTATTGACGGGGATAAATTACTTACAAAATTGCATCACTACAATACTACAGAACTATTTAGTTGACAGAAGTGCAAAAAACCAAAAATGGAACTACACTATCAAGCTCAAAAAATATTTCTGTTGGTATACCACAAGGTAGTAAACTAGGTCCACTACTATTTATTTTCTACATTAATGACATTTGTGATATTTTAGATTTTTGTAAAAATCAAGATATTTGCAGATGATACATTAATATACATATAAGATGAAAATACAGACACTGGTTTGAAAATGCTCAATTCTGACTTGGCAATAATGATAAATTGGCATAATGTAAATAAACTTAAATTGAATACTTCTAAAATGTATGATAATAGGGGAATACCCAAATGAAAATATTATCACAGATAGGATAAATGGTGAAATAATGGAAAATGTTGAATCAATTAAATATTTAGGTATATACATTGATAGTAAACTAAAGTTTGATGATGACTATAAATACATACATTATTTCAAAAATTGACAAAAAAACAAATTACTTTTATAGGGCTTCTCATAGTCTTGGTACATACTCCAAGTAAATAGTTTATAATACAATTCTTCTACCTCATTCATTATACTAACTTGTTCACTGAAAATGAAGCTGTATTCTCAAAATTAAAAGTCCTGCAAAATAAAGCTATGAGAATAATACTGAATAAAAATAAGTACACCAAAATAAAGTCTATCTTACATGGATTGCAGTGGTTGAATATAAAAAATTTCATATATTTGGTTCTTATTTTTAAATTTAAAATAAAAAATCATCTTTTCCACAACATTTAGAACACTGCATAGAATTGAATAAACATTACCATAATTATTATAGGTGTACAAGAGGAGATATAGATTTTCATTTACAAAATTGCAATAGTAATATAACTAGCAAATCTATAGTTCAGAAAGGATTACTTGAATTTAATAAACTAAATAATGCAAAGTCTACTTGTAATTTAAAGATGTTTAAAAGAGAATTAAAGGAATATTTCATGGACAGTGAAAATTCTTAGAGATGCAAATTTTCCTAAATATCTGTATGTTGTGTAATTGTTTAGGTTTTCAGAAGAATGTAATTGTAGCAATCATGCTAAATAAATCAAATAATATCTTCAATAATTTAGAAAAGGATATTTAAAAACACCAACATGAAGCTGATTCAAAGATTAATTGAAACTCCTAGCTTTTAACGAGTTATTTGCATGCAAACTGTTATCTGTATTGTATTGTTTTTCAACTGTAAATGTGTTTGTGCTACCGTTCCTTTGACCACTAATATGTTACAGTATATTCCAACGGAATATTATTAGTACTATTTCTTAAATTTCGGGATGTAATGAAAATATGAAAAGCTTGCAGATTTTGAATCGTTTAACTAATATTTAGCTTTGTCTATAAACTGGTGGTCAAAATTAAAGACATACTAGTGTGTAAGTTTACATTTTTACAAACGTAAGAGTAGTCTTAGATACTTCTAGTATTTTACTGTAGACCTTTGTACAATAAATTCTACTGTTTGTTCACAGCTGCCTTTGAATCTTTCCTCAACTTCAGTTTTTCTGTTACAAAGATACCTCTTTGTCGACAGCTGCTTATACCTGTATGTAAGATGTCTTAGAAAATAACCAAATCAACTTACCTGCATCGTTTGATGGGGTTGGCCATACCCTTGCATCGTATGCCCCATCTGTGCCGGACCGGGAGGTTGCTGTTGTTGCTGGTGTGGCTGCCCGCCGCCGCCCATGTGGCCTCCAGCTGAAGGCGGCTGTCCGGCCATATGACCCGGCGTCGGTCCGGCACTCCCCATTTGTCCATACTGGACGGCCGCCGCTGCCATCTCAGCTGCCATTTGGTGATGGGAGTACTGAGCGTGTGGATGATGTGCGGGCAGACGCTGGTGCATGTAGCCCGCATACGATTGTCCGCCCGACGCTGATGATGGATGGTAGCCGCCAGTACTGCGATATCGAATGCAAGTATTAATTAATATGATAGATTTACTTGAAAATATGTAGCTAATTAAAGTGAAATCCCCCTTTGCGGACATCTCTCTTACACGGACACCTCCTTTAAACGAATAGTTTCTCATGATCCCGACCGACTCTCATACAATATGCATTGTATCAAATCTCTCTTGAATGGACGCGGACACGAGAAAATGTACTCCTAACCGGTCAAAAAACAAAACAAAAAGAAACGCCTTGTCTTATTTTTTTATGTTGAGAGTATCGCTATTGCATTTCTCAGTCGTGCTGCGCGCCATCTTCGCTGGTACTATCTCGAGTAAACCGGGGATTCACCGACTTTAATCTTTGGGTACAAACGCAGCGTACGAGGGTGGTCCCAGAAGTATCCGGCCTGACCTAGTGATGGCGATAGTGGTTTGAAAAATATCATTGTATTAGAAAGTATGCAACCTATAAAGCATATGTGTCAAGTTTGAAGGCCACGTTGTTTAGTATTTGTTTGGCAGCCATCAATACTGAACGTTTTCAGTGAATTTGTGAAAATGGAGAAAATTGGTCATCGTTAGGTGGTACAATACTTTTCTTCAAAGGCCTCAGCCCAACCAATATAAAAGCTGAACTAGATTTTACTCTGGGCGAGTCTGCTCCTTCGTTTACAACAGTAAAATATTGGATAGCAGATTTTAAACAAGGCTGTATGAGCTGCCAAGAAGAGCATCGCAGTGGTCGACCAAATGAGGTGACGACTCCAGAAATGGTGAAGAAAATTCACAAAGCGGTACTGAATGATCGTCGACTGAAAGTGCGCGAGCTAGCAGACAGTAGGAATTTCAAAAAGTGCGGTTCATCGCATATTATCGAAAATTTGGACATGTGAAAGCTGTGTGCAAGATGGGTGCCGCGATTGCGTCGTGAAGATGTTTCAATTGACTGTTTAGCGAAGTTTCACAGCAAAAAAGCAGAATTTTTGCGTCGTTTCATAACCATGGATGAAACATGGGTCCATCACTTCACACCCGAGACAAACGAACAATCAAAACAAAGGACTCAAAAGGGACAACCGGCTCCAAAGAAGGCGAATACCGTTTCATCTGCAGGCAAGGTTATGGCGTCGGTTTTTTGAGATGCGCGTGGGGTAATTTTCATTAACTATCTTGAAAAAGGTAAAACTATCAACGGCGAGTATTATGCAAACTTATTGCAACGTTTGAGATATGAAATCAAGCAAAAACGGCCGCATTTGGTTAAAAAGAAAGTGTTGTTTCATCAAGACAATGCGTTATTGGAATGGCCAAAATTAACGAATTAAAGCTTAAATTGCTACCTCATGCACCCTATTCACCAGATTTAGCCCCCTCGGATTATTTTCTGTTTCCAAACGTGAAAAAATGGCTTAGTGGTCAAAGATTTTCCAACGATAAAGAAGTGATGTCGGCAGTTAATGGCTATTTTGAGGAGCAAGACAGTTCTTATTATAAAAAGGGTATCGAAGTTATTAAACATCGCTGGGAAAAGTGTATAGAGCTCAAAGGAGATTATGTTGAAAAATAAATACTTCTTTTTACAAAATTACTGTTTTCTCCGTTGGGTCGGGTACTTCTGGGACCACCCTCGTATGCGGTGCATTTCTGTCCGGCGTAAATTAGGGACTTTAGGGGATTTACCGTTCTTATTCTTTGGGTACACGCTTTCGATTAAATGTCCATTCAGTATTAGTCTGACGTTGGTGGTTTCAAGACCTAGATTGGAAAATGGCTAAAGAAAAAAAATTTTGTTATTTTTAGACAATGCGGGATCTCATGCAAAAGATATTCGCTTAAATAATATGCAAATATTATTTTTGCCTCCTAATTATACATCAGCTTGTCAACCACTTGACCAAGGGAATATAAAGATTTTTGAAACTTATTACCGAAGTCCAATACTCAAACACCTACTAGTAAACATTTAAACTGCTGGTAGAGCTTTTGAGTTAATAAAGAAAGTTACATCATTGGATGCAGTTTATGTGGAAAAAACAGCTTGGGACCAAGTAACAAAAGAAACTGCAAAATTGCTTCGCAAAGCAGGATTTAAGAATGAAAATATGCAAAGTGAAGACCAGTTAAAAGAAGCTGATACACCTGACCCAGGAGATGACTTACCACTTAATGTACTTTCAGATATCCTCAGAAATAAGAATTTATTGAAATGAAAACCTATATGATTTTTTGAACATAGGTGAAGGTTTATATGTTGAACATCCAGATTCAGGCCAAGAAATTGAAAATTCAGTTGAAATACAAGAACATTCCCAAGATTCTGATATCGATGAGGTTCTAGTACCAACAGAAGCTATTCCAAATTATGGTAAGGCTAATCAAGCAGCTGAAAAGTTTTGTCGAAAACCAAGGAGATACAGAGTTTTTGGAGCTTTTTTCTAAATTAGAAAAAAAAGAGGAGACAAACGACAATATAAGAATTTTGCGTCCTGAAAGTGACTTTTTATTTCATTGCTCTGTGTTACTACATATGGGTATGTATATACATATGAATATGTGTATTACATACTTTGTATATATCTAAAGGTAACAAACCTTATTTTGTGTTTGTTTTCATTAAATACACGATTTGTATTTTTTCTATACGGACAACCCTCTTGAACGGACACTTTCAGTCGGTCCTCTTGATGTCCGTCCAAAGGAGATTTTAGTGTATTCACATTTGTCCAATCTTTGGAAATGCTGAAAATTCTGAACTTGCAGTAAATGTTACAGCTTACTATGAAATACAAATCATAAATCCTCGAACGTTCCTCAATGAAGCACTGTTGTTTATTTAAATCCAAGGAGGGATTGTTCCTCAAACGGCATTAAATCATCACGGGACGTATATAAATGTGACCTTCAAATTTAGGGTTTGTTATAAATGTTTCTTGGAACGCAGGGTTTGAATAAACCCTTAGAATCCTGAATTCTACAGGGTATGTCACCTCAAAGTCTTGATTGAAATGCTTATTTTTTCTAATGGCTTCGATTTCCCTCAACTCCCGATAGGTGGTAGACGGGTCTTTGACTGTCGAATGTGCAGGTACCACCCGGCCGATCTCTAGGGCGGGGCCAGAATGTGTGTATGTTGCACGCATACGTGTTGCCTTGTTAGTCCGTGCGGCGTCCCTCCCCTTTCCCCATGTATCCCACTACAGCCCCACGGTACCCATGGGTATTTAGGTCTTTGTAGTGAGCCCTACTGAGTGAGGGCCGTGGCAAATGCTTGTTCCGGAAGTTGTTGTATCCAGCATACAACTTCTTCCCGTCCAAGTGATTGTGCACGCGTTAAGGAATACCTCAGTACCGATTGCCGGGTGGCGGTACAAGTCCGTCAACGGGCCATTTTAGGTCTATTTAAAATCACTAACACGTAAAAAGAAGGTGGAAGACAAGGACCAGTCGACCGAGGCGGTACCACCCGCTAGCTTTTCCCAGGGTGTCTTATAAATGTCCGCATGTTTCCACACCTAAGCTATGCAGTCGGATATCTTCCAAAACAAAGAAATTTATGATGATGGATCCCTCGAGCACTAAGAACTCCGGACGTAAACTCACTCCACTTTGGGAATGTCCGGGTAGAGGGTGGGCTCGAGGGAATAATATCGAAGATAAAATTTGTTTTTCGAACATCTGCGGGATTAACAGCAACAATCCAATCGTCCCGCCGTGCTTTTCTTGGCGGAGACAAAAATCTCAGAGACTGCACCGATTAACCATCTCAACTTCCCAAACTACGAGGTGCACTCCAATCTGAGAAAGATCGGGGGAGTTGTGGCTTTTGTCAGCAGCATTCTTTAATGCTCCAGGGATCTTTCTTTGGAATCAGACCGGAAGGACATTCTGTGGCTTCGCCTCAACTCCAAAACATCACCCAAATTTATTTGCTGCCTTTATCGCTCTCCCTCGAACCATAACTGGGATGACCTAATCGAATACCTCGCCGTCCAGATTGACTTCCTGAACATCAATCACCGGTGATTTCAATGCCCATAATGAGCTTTGGTTGGGCTCAAATAAGACCGATGCAGCAGGTCGTGCAGTCCAAGCGTTCGCTCTTACTCAAGGGCTGACCCAGCTGGTGACGAGCCCTACTTTTTTCCCCCGCGTGTCGTCACACGCCAATAACCTGCTGGATCTCTTTCTGACCACGCATCCTGTCCCTTACATCACTGCTGTCCTATCCCCCCTGGGTAACTCGGACCACGGTGTTGTGGAGGTTAGGTTTCGGTCAGAACCCGCTGAGGCAGCAGAAACTCGTACAGGCCGCAAAACTTGGCATTACGGACATGCCGACTGGGAGCGGCTCAGAGACTTCTTCTCTAGCTTTCCTTGGAGAGATGTCTGTTTCACTGACGCGGATGCGTCGACTATCTGTTCCTCGATAACCGAAATTATCCACGTCGTAATGGAGGAATACATCCCTCACACAGTGAAAGTTCCTAAACCAGGGTCCAACGGCTGGTTTAACAAATCGTGTGACACTGCTTGCCAGCAGAACATCAAGGCACACAGAACCTACTTACAAAGCCCCACTGTAGAGAACAGACAAGCCGACGTCGAGTCCAGAAACAAATATAACGAAGCGGTTCGCAATGCCAAAAACCAGCAAGATATAAAAGTTAGGCACAGGGTAATGTCGCAGCGCAATGGCATTCGGTCTTTATGGACGCTGGCCAAGCAGATTGAAAAGAACTTCTCACACAGTAGCCTTCTACCACTTACGTGTCAGGATGGAACTATTGTATTCGACTCAGAGGCCAAGGCGGAAGTGCTAGCCAAGATCTTTACAGCCAACTCCACCATGGAGGTCCCCACCAACGCCCAAGTGCCGTCAATTCAAAGGGTTTCCCACATTATGCGGGAGGTAACATTCAGGCATAAGACCGTAAGACGAGTGCTCTTGTCGCTCGACATCAACAAAGCTTCTGGTCCGGACTTGATTCCTGCCATTGTACTGAAGAGATG